TTGGATGATTCAATGTTGGATGGTACTCAACAACAAGTCTAAAGTCTTCAGGTCTTCGCCTGGGATCGATATATCCAGATCCAAGTATGCCTTTTATATCGTATTCGCCATTAGGAGCTTGGATCGAACCTGAAGGAGACTCATCATCATCACTGGAATCGACCTCCCCGTCAATAATCGTATCATCATCGGAATCTTCTACTGGAGGCTCAGGTAAATTGTCGGGAACAGGATCAATTAAAGTGGTTAATCGCCCATTATCATGAATCGGTGAACGACTACGGTCCCTATTAGGTGGATGGTTCTCAATCGAGGAATTAGAATTGTCACTGGTGTTGACAATATCCTTTCTAGGAGCCAATGCTAAAGGCATACCAGATGCAGAATGTGTTGACGAACGTTGGTTAAGGGAAGCACGAACAGTTGATTTAGTTCTAGCCATTGTTATTAACAAAAGAAAGAAAATTGATGAATTGTAACAAAAGGAAAGAGTAACTCAAATTCGATGCGGAGCATTAATGACAATGGACAGGAAAATGTCACACTTAAATATCATCCTTTTGTCTTAATCCTGTAAAACTGACCAATAGTATTCCGTTGTGAGTTAAACACCAAAACTAACCCAACGAGAACTCACCCTTGGGATATAAAAGATTAACTTTTATAACCCAAGGATCATTATCATCTTAAGTATTGTACTGAGCTTAAGTCTTAAAACCCACTTTTGAAATAAATTGTTTATCCTCATCTTTATTTTGGACCAACTTTTCATTTTCAACTCAAAGAGTTGTTACAATATTTATCTAATAGCCTCTCAACTTGTATCATCGAAATGAAGACTTTTGAAGAGAATTGAGATAAATATCGATTTTTATTTAATATCTTCATCAAGAATTTGATCTATTTGTAAAAAGAGATATAAAATGTAGCTGAAAAAAGAAAAATCTTCTCTCATTTTTGCCTTTTCTCAACTTATCCGAATTACCTGGGTCCTTGTTCATGATGATTATAAGAACCCAAGATAAGCTGAAGAAAATAATAACATGAACTTTTCCCTCTAATATTCATCCCGTTTAAGTTTGTCAAATATTGGAATTTAGCTCTATTCTGAGACTTTTTTCTTTCGATTTCTTCAAATGGTCAAGATCATCAAGTTAATGATAAAAATGATCGAATCTCACCTTCTCATCTTAAATTGGACAAAATGGCCGAGGCTTGTTGCAGTCTTTTCGTTTATAAAAGAATCACATAGCTTCAAGTCTTACAAATGTTCTTTTCTCTGTCCTCATCATGTTTCTTGAGATTAAATCTAATACGAATTCACAGAAACAGAAAGGGCAGAATTCGTTCATAAAATTGGACTAAAAGGAAAAATTTAAACTCATTTCGATTGATTGAGTAACAAGGAAACTTTTAAGGAAAAAGAAAAAAAGAAAAGATGAAAGGTAAATGAATACAAATGTCATTGTGTCTTTATTTCCAAATTCTATTTCAATTTAGAATTCAAATTGTTTATCTCAGAATAATCAGAATATTCTCTTATCTAATGCCGAACAAAAATCTTTATTCAGTTACGAGTTTTCTAACCATCTTTATCTTCATTTTCTTCTTGATCTCTATCTTACTCTCTTATTACCATGACTTTGAGTCTAAAGTTTTCGTTTCAGATAAAATCTCCTGAATTGGAGCTGAAGTTTTATCATGTGAGTTAACAAATGAACTCACATCGTAACAGTTTTCTTATCCTCTTGTTTCAACATCAAATAACAACTACAATTATAAACTCGATAACAATCAATTATAATGAAAAGTAAAAGCCTTGGAAGCATTAAAATTATGATTCAATGGCAATTTCAATCAACTTCAAAGCAGATCCATCAAGTAATTAGCTCAACAAAATTAGATGATTAATTAACTAGACAGAAATAATTTCCAGTATCAAAGCAAACTTGATTCTTGAGTAGAGTTATTCTGAATTTCATTCATCTTTCATATTCTGCATCAATTTACCTGAAAAAAACGATAACAGTTCCTTGAATTCAGGTTAAGAGATATGAAACCTGATATTCTGAAAGAAAGTGTACAAAATTTCAATCAATTCTGTTTATTTCCAATGTTACTTTGTTTTTAGAACTTTTTTTTCGAGCAATAATTTCATTTGAAAGCTTTTTTATCTTTTACATTTTTGTTTCATTTTCAACTTCTATCATCTTATCATCTCATGATAAGTTGAAAATTCATGTTATCATGATTCTGAGGTGATAAAAATTTGGAAACCATTTTCTCAAGGAAAAGCAGAGGAATAAGAAAGGGAATCTGAAAATGATAAAAGACTCAACTAGATACGATGTCAACCATGAATCGTACTCAGGGTAATATACATTCGAACATGAATTTAACCACAAATTGAGTAACTTTCTCATCTCAATCATTTTCCGACTTTGTTTCTTTTCTTCATGGTGATTGAATTGTTCAATTTTTTAAATAAGAGAACTTTTTCTCTTCTTAGTTATTGTATTTAACAGTTAAAAGCAGAAATTGGAAAAACATCATTTGAGCATTTGAGGTGAACAGAAGTGAACATGAAGAAACCATGATGATGACTGATGATTTCAAGAATTCGGTTAAATGAATTGAAAACTAAATCAAACATTTCATTCAATATTTTCATTCATTTTCATTCACTTCTCATGTTTTCATGTTCCCTAATAAGTTAATTGAAGTAAATTAATTCAATCCAGTTTTCATGATGAATCACATTGATCCTCTAAATTTTTACATTCTAATACATTTTCTGAGTAAAAATTTCCAATGATAAACTTGTTGCTTGCTATCCAATTCCCTAAATTGCCTGAGTCAAGTTAATTGTTTATCTGTCCAGCAAATAACCAACTAGTCAATAAAATTCATATTTTCCAGACGTAAACACAATTAACTTTAATCATGGCAATTGATTGATATTAATAGATAATAATCAAATGAATTTGGATATTATCATGAAACAATCAAAGATAAAAACATTTAATTTAATTGTTAACAGATAAAAGGAGGGAAATTGATTAATTGCGATTACTTATGACGAGATTAGTGTAAATCATCATGAGCGATAATTAACAAGGCGTGATGAAGATAATGGTTATATTTTGATTGACAGGGTGATTATGATTTCCTGTTAATTGTCTAAAGGTTATGCAAATGATTGAGAAAATTAATCAATGTAAATCTTTGAATAAATGATAACAATATGAAGAGATAATGTGTTTTTGTCATTAACCTTTCGTTTTTGTTTCGTTTTCCTATTATTTTGATTTAATGGATATAATTTCATTTCCATTTTCCAGATTATTATTGTATGGAAATGTTCATGATGGAATTGAAATTTACATTCATGATGATGAAGATAAAACATGAACGATATGTTCAACAAAAGATTCACCTTTGTATCCTCATCAGTACCTGTTCATCATAAACCATTAAGTGAATTCAAATTGAATGTCATTGTCTTTTAGAATCAATTTGAATTCGGTTTGTATAATATTTACATGACAGCTGAATGGAAACAGAATTATCAGAACTCTTGTTCCTTTTGTCATTCTCTGTCCTCGTCTTGATCCATAATCGTCATTCCTGTTTCTCGAGTCAGTTTTCAATCGAATTTAAGTTTTCAGGGCAACAATTGTTCCTTTTTCATGGTGATAGTAATTAATTCTGTCTCGTTGAAGTGAGTTTTACAATTGCTCTTGACAATTAAATGTAAAAGATAAATAATTGTAATGATTATCTTTATTTACTTTGCTTGTTGAACAACAGGAAAAAATTAGGTTCCTTTATTTGGTTATCTCAAGTCTCTGTCTGATTAACTTTTCCTGTGAATATTATCATTGTTATATTGATATTCAAATCTAAATGACAATTGATCATTTATCAGTTGTAATTAAATCTCATGTTCAGAACAATCTATTGTGTTTTAATCGACAAGATAATTAATTGTTTTTACGATTTCGTTTGAATAACTCTCACAATAAACTCATATTTTGATTCAACTTCGAACTCAATCAGCTAAAAATAGACTGAAATAGTGAAAATCTAACTTTGAGGTAAGAACTTTGTTCCCCTGATTCCTATTCTCGATAATATATTCAATGGAAAAAAAGGAAAAAAAGTTCTATTCTCTTTGTATATCTTGTTGACAAGTCACAACCCTTAGAATAACTCGTAATTACCTGAGAAATACATTCAGTGTTTACATTATGTAACCACCTTTGATATTCTCAGTTTTCCTGACACAGGAAAAAAGTTCATTTCGCCTGAACTGAGTAAACCGGAATAAGATGTGGAATAAAAACCAAACAAGTTCAAATATTATTCTGATTTTTTCTCATCCTCATGATGTCACCAAACAGCTTAATCCAAAAGTACATTAATTATAGTTGATGGATCCAGATAATTTAATCCAATGTCTAATATCACCATGAGAATTTTTCTGTTTCATCTCAATCTTAATCATCATTGAAATTTTACACCGATTTCACTCCCTGTGTAACTCAGCGTTTCAAGGATTTTCCGTTTCATCTTTAATTACCTTTGGTCGTGTCTTATAACATGATCCATGATTGAATTACTGATTAATTAGTGACATATATCAACAAAATAATTACTTTTTAATTACGTGAAACTCAAGTGATAACAATTATCATTTTTTTCCTCGTTAATCTGCAAATCGATTCTGAATAAATATTCATTGTATTCAATAATCATCATGGATATTGAATTATATTTTCCTCGGTTTGAATGGTGAATAAAAACTAATCAGAAAGAGGCTCTATTCAGACGATGATTATTATTCATGATTAATATAATATTATATTCTGATATCATGTAACGTTAATTCAATTACTCTGGAATTAAATTAGTTATTTTCCAAGTCTTCCAATTGACTCATCCTTCATTCAATTCTCAATTTAACTCATCAAAGTGTCTCATTCATTTTCCTCTTTCAGGAATATTCGGCTCAGATAACATTTCGTGAACAATGGCGAGATGATAGACTGGCCTACAATGACATGGCTGGACAGATTCGATATCTAACACTGACCGATCCCAATCGAATTTGGAAACCTGATTTATTCTTTCGAAATGAGAAAGAGGGCCATTTTCACGATATAATTATGCCCAATGTTTTACTAAGAATTTACCCTGACGGAGAAGTTCTGTATTCGATAAGAATCTCATTAGTTCTGGCCTGTCCCATGCACCTAAAATACTACCCGCTTGACCTGCAAACTTGTTCGATTTCAATGGCCTCATGTGAGTCGAGTAAATAATAATAGTATCAGTTCGAAGGATAAAATCGAAAATCTAAATTATTATGATAAATTTTTCGAGTTGAAAATTTCAAGTTGAACGAAATGTTTACATTTATGTCTTTGTTTTGGTTACAACAATGAGAAAGCTTTTAAAACTGATTGTTGTGTCATCATGACGATACATGATTTAAGAATTGAATTTGTATCCTGAACCTACAAAATTTTGACGTCAATTGTATCATGTACTCTGTCTAGAAGGTGATAAAGATGAGTAACAGAATCTCTTGGGTTTTAGATTGTTGAGATTTTCTGTCAAAACATTAGCATATTCACATGTTGACATTTGAATCTTAATATCGATGAAAGATTATCACTTAGATTGTGCTTTGTTTATGACAATTTGGTTACAATCACTTTCATCTCTATAAAAATATTTTATGTACCAGTGGACCAACAAGTTATCAATGAAACATATTATTGAACATTTCGAGATTCATTTGATAGAACTTATCATCATTAGGAAAATAATTACATCATTAAATTCATTGATCAATTTACTACTAGTATTTCAAGTTTCGTTTTCTTCTCAATGAACGCGACAATTTATTTGCTTTTCAGGTAAAGTTTTTCAACTCAATCGATTATTTTGCCAAGTAAACTGATAGATTTTATCTATGATGATGATGATTAGATCATTGAGTAAACAGTTGATCATAATTATCATGAAATTGAATTACAATTTGCGATTACAACGTTTAAATTATCTGTTAACATGATATGATTGAGTTGAGATGAAACCTCAATAAGTATTATAACAAAGTTCTGATGATAGATTTTCTCTCTTCTCTTTCATCTATGGTGATAATAATTCAGTAAAGTTTTATTCTGAGTCAGATGATCTCTCATGAGGAAGAAGATAAAAGGATGAAGATCATGATAAGAGCTTAATTCATTGACAGAATTAAAGATTCTCAGTTCGATTCCAACTCCGATTCTGATTCAATGAGTTGCAACTCAATCAAATGATATTTCATTTGATCTATTCACGTAATTGAATCTCTTTATTTTTTCTTACAATCTCAACATTTGGATAGAATCAATCGTTCTCAACAAATGGTACAAATCGTAAGAATCAATTAAAATCATCAATTCTCATTGATTCAGTTTCGAAACAAATTGAACAAGAAAATTGATCGAATAGTAAAAGCGAGACTTTAGAAACCAATCAATTATATTAATGTTTAATTTAATTATAACATGAGAATAGTATGAGAAATGGCTTGCAAATTAATGTGAACAATTAAATCAACTGGTAAAGAGATACAAGCAAATACATTAAGTAAAATCTTTTCACAAAAAGTGAAATTTTCTAAGTCATCTCACTAGAAATAAAGCTTTTCTTTTCTTGACCATTGGCTATTCTCTCATATATTAGATGGATACACTACTGAAGACCTGATATTCCAATGGAAAGAAGGTGATCCAGTCCAGGTGACCAATAATCTTCATCTACCTCGTTTCACTCTTCAAAAATTTCTTACTCTTAACTGCACCAGTTCAACGAACACAGGTAAAGGGTCTCGATTCTCATCGAGTCTTGGAATTTAATAGAATTATAATTTTTCTTTTTCTTTTTCTTCTTCCAGGATTCTACAGTTGCATTGAAGTGAATCTTATCTTTAAACGTGAATTCAGTTACTATTTGATTCACATTTACATTCCCTGTATCATGTTAGTCATCGTCTCATGGGTTTCATTTTGGCTTGACCCAAATGCTATTCCTGCAAGAGTTTCGTTGGGTGTTACAACATTACTGACCATGGCTACTCAAATATCTGGAATCAATGCTTCACTTCCTCCAGTTTCTTATATAAAAGCAGTTGATGTTTGGACAGAATGTTGTTTGACCTTCGTCTTTGGGGCTCTATTAGAATTTGCTTTGGTCAATTATGTATCGAGATGCGATTCACAATTAACTACAACAACAGCGACATCGTCAACTGTTACAGCTCCGACAACAACAATAATCACTCCCGCGTCGACATCAAATTCTGGTCCAATATTTTGCTATCCTACTACCGTGGGCATGGGTGGGGTGGGTATTGGAATGGGAGTTGGTAGGAACACGCCAACATCATCATCAGCGGCCTTATCGTCATTGACCAGAATAACCAAAAATTCAATTTTAGATCCACCACCGAACTTGCCTGTTTTAACCCGTGATCCATTGGCCGATTGTGAGGCCAGTACGATATTTGGAATGGTGAGTATATTTTCACGTTAAAAGTTTGCCAATTTACATTTTGTTTGATTCTATTCTTCATTTCAAAATGTTTCATAAAATTTGAATTCAACTCCTTAACCCATAACAAGAATTCCAGGAATCAAGAGATCAATGTAAATATTTCAAATGATAATCTTTTGTTTCTAATAAATTTCATGAAAATGTTGTAAAGTTCAGCCTCATCCATGAATAAACTGAATGAGATAAAAAGGAAAAAGAGAAAGTATCATTATATTAGCTATTAGAGGATGGAAAAAGCAACAGTCTTGCGATATTAGGATGATGATTATGATGAAATTTCCTGAGAGAAAGGAAGATGTTCAAAAATGATGAGGATAAGAAAAAGATAAAAAAGTTCTAACTGGTAACTAGTTGCTCGAATAAAGAGATTGATAGGGAATAAACTCACTCACTTTTCTCATGATGAAGATTATACTCATGATGATAATGATGATACAAAGAAGAAAAATTCATCTAAACCATTGAAACTGTTCGGAAATGAGAAACTGGGAAGCAACTTTGTACATCGATTAGAAACTCACTTATATCTCTCATCGAATAGCAAAGTTATAGGTTTTGATGATAAAGATGCTTAAGATTCATCAAAGTACTAAACTATTCTCGTCATCCTTTTATCAAAAGTTACTTTTCATTTTCTTACGAAAATCTATAAAATTAGAAAGAGGAAAAGATTCTTTCAGCTCGAACTGAGATTATCTGATCCTGGAGTTGGAATTATTAACCAGGTAGAAAATAATCTACCTGAGACAAAACAGAATAAAGGTAACACTTATTTTCTTCTCATATTTGATCTTATCTTATTCGACAAATATATCGTCTTTTTATCTTCTTTCCGAATCTCAATTATGCCTTGAGTTCTATTCTTTCACTTCCTCTTTTCATCTCTTTTCATTATCTTCCATTTTCTTTCAATGTTCATGATGCTTTTCCATCAGAAAACTTGAACATGGTAATGTTGATATTCATTGATTGTTACATTAAATCCAATGGAGTTGGAAAGTTAAAGGTTTACCTTGATTCTGAAGAAAAGGTTGATGATTAACCTTTTTATTATTTTAATTGTTTCCTTTTACTGTAAATTGATTGTGTATGTTTCTAGATTGTGTTTCCTTTTCCTTTCATCTAATAATTGTCATCGAAAACTTGAATACAAACAATCAAGATGCTTGACAAAAACAACAGAATCAACTGTTGTCGAGTGATTACATTTCAGAATTATGATGAATGATTAATAATAATTAACTGCATTGATCATTCATCTTAATTGGAGCCAATACATTAATTGATTATCATGTAAACTATTGATCTAATTACAGAAACCAACCAAAAGAAAAGTTTGTCCAAGTAAAAAGAATCGATTCCATGGTGAAGATGAAGCCGAAGGAGGATTCGGTCGGTGTGATGAGAATGAGCCTGACGATCTAACGGTTTGGTTCAAATGGCTACGAAAATTTCCAACGCGCTCGAAACGGATCGATGTTGTTTCTCGGATCCTTTTCCCCACAATGTTTGCGCTTTTTAATCTCGTCTATTGGATCACCTATCTTTTTATTGATGAACGCAAATAACCGTGAAATTAATTATTAATAAAATCAATTATTGTTAATACAACAATTTGATTCGTTTTCTAACACAAAATAATCAAATTTTTCCAAGTTAATTATTAAAAATTGAATTTTTTTAAATCCAGTTATGAAAATAAACCAACAGAAAATGTAAATCAATTGATAAGTTTATTAATTTACAAGTCATTCAGATTTATTCATTAAGTGTTGATTAAAATAAATTATCAGCTCACTCCAATGATGAATATTTTTAATTAGTTAATTGTGATTTTAAAAAGTGTTGAAAAGATTCCTGAACAATGAAAGAGGCAACTTGAGATTCACTAGATATTAATTGTATTAATACTAGAAAGTGAAGTGTTTAATTACTAATTTCTAATTAATCGCAACTTTAATCTCTCAACTTTTCAACGATAATTAAAAACGATGAGTTCAATTCAATTAAAATCTTTTTAATCCTGTTCTGTATTTACAGCCTGATTAATAACTTGATTAATTACTCGACAATTACGATCTTCAGTCAGTCACACAGGAATCACAATTAACTGATTTTCGTAATCAAAACTATCAGTTAAATAACCTTTAGGTAATTGTTTCCTGGTTAGTTTAATGATAGACTGTTAACCAATAATTGGGAAGCCACGGCGATCGTTGAGTTGTACGTTGATTAGTTAATTGTTACCTAAATTATCACACTCAAAACAATCAGTTTACTACAAAAACAAATTAATCAAAGTAATTTGTTGATCATCATCATTATAATGAATTATAATTATCCATCATATTGAAAAAAGTTGCAGGTAAAAGTTATTTCACTTTGCCTGTTGTTAAATCATAATGATTTGTATGGTTGGTAACAGAAAAGTAATCAACTAATCAACAATACAAATATAACAACAAATCATAATGATTATATAATTTAATTGTTAGAAATACAATCGTAACCAAAAATTGACTCGTACAAACGGTTTTTAAATTGTCATCAATGTTTTTTTTTGCATTCAGTTGATTACTGAAACTGACTTGATTAACTTGACTACGTGATAACTTGATTATTATTATTGTAATTATGATTATTGTTTTTGTATTACTATTTGATGATTAGTTGATTGTAAATAAGTATTTATATTTATCTGTATCCTTTATTGTAACCCTTCATTGATTGTTGTAACATCCGATGATAACAAGTCAATTTTCAGACAACAATTAACTTACTAATTATAGTCATCCCTTGTAGTGGAAGTCAATTGGATTATTAATGGTAAATTAATTTAATTACCTCCAATTGTTCATATATATGATTATATGTCGAAGATAAATTGCTACAATTATCTTGTTGATTAAAATTCTGTGGTCAAGTCATATGGTCCAATTTTGCTCGTTGGACTTTAAATTCAGTTTTGACTTGACTGATTAATTTGATTCAATTTATCACGATTACCATTGAGACAATTTTGATTATCATCAACTAGATTATGTAAAAGCATAATCTTTTCATGTAGATTAATAAACATGTAAAAGTTAATCCAGAAAAATGATATTATTATGATTATCTCTCAGTAACAATTGATTGCTCAGAATTTCAATTTTTACTATCATAATTGAACAATCAGTTACTTCATAGAGCTAAGATAATGATCGTTAATAAACAGACAATTAACTAATCAAAGTTTGATTGAAAACGATACATCATCAGATTATTGACTGATTGTAATTTAATTAAAGGATAATCGTAATGGCGATATTGAACTTTTTTGGTTGAGTCTTTATTGGTTACACCTTTAATTTGATTGTTTGATAATAACAATCAATCAATCACCTTTTAAATAGTTAAACTATTAAGGAAAAACAATTATCATTATCAAATTTAATATTAAATTTTCTATCATATTAAATTAACAATTTAATCTAATTGTTTAATCAATCAATTGAATCACAAAAAGGTAACAACCAAGCTCAAGGTTAATAAACGAGATGATTACAATTCAATGGATTAATTTTTAATAATGTTAATCTTGTTTACATATTGTACTTATTAATTGTCATTATTTAATGAATATCATTTGTTTCAATTAATATTAATACTTGAAAATGTTAACGTGTTAGTATTTCATCAACAGTGACAGTTAAGTAATGATGGGTAATTAGTTGATTGTTTCAATATTGATTAGATTTACATGTACATTTACATGAATACATATTGATGACATAAAGAGACAAATTCAACTACAATTAACGTGATTTGATTATCAATAATCAAGACGATTTGTGGAGATATGAAATTAGAAGAGATCAAATCAAATTATCAATTAGAGCTCAAGAAGTTGATCTTTTTTGTATTTAATACGTGTATTAATGTTTCATATTAATCGTTATGAAATATCATAAATGGTAACGATAATTGTGATGATAATTTAAGAGAGAAAGAAAGAAAGAAAGAAAGAAAGAGAGAAAGTTACTCGTTCATTTAGTTGTTACATTTATCGTTTATTGTGTTTTCGTTACCAAACGTACATCATATCGCACGCACATCTAAACGATGAACACAATTTATGCTAAACATCATCATTTTAATCATCTTTTGTGTCTACCTTAGCAGTCTCTCTCTCTCTCTCTCTTCTCTTACCTGGAATCACTTTCAGTTTATTTTTGACACCCTTACCTGTCCTTACTTTACCCTCCTTCGAATCGCGATCCCTTTCAATGTTAATTTGATTATAACGCTCATACTAAGCGATGGTGTCGATGATTAGAAGCAAAAAAAAAACTATTCTTTCAAGAAGAAAACGACTTTACACTTGAATGAGCTTCTTTTTATCATAATAATAATCTTACTTTCTATCTCCTCTTTCTCTCTCATTCTTACGCACGTTTGTTAATAATAATAGAAAATGATACAATTTCCGTCCAAAAGACTTTAGCCCCTCGAATCCCCTTCCATTCGCTCGTCTCCTCCTCCATCGCCTCCATTTAGGTTACTTGTTTTACTGTTACAAGTTGATCTACAATCAGAATCTTCATGATTTCCATTAAGGTGTGAAAAAGGGGCTCAGGGATTATTCGTGATGATGAATGAGGAGCCTGAAAGTGTCAGGAAGGAGGGAAAGGTAAAAGTTTACTTGGAACTCGAGAGAGAAGTAAGAAAAGGAGGATATCGATGAAAGGGGAGGTTGATTGGAATTGGATTAAGATTTGAAAGAAGAGGCGATTGATGCTCATTGTTGTTGTCAGTTGTAGCTTGACAATCGAACAGTCAAGAGAAAAAGAGATCGAAATTCGAAGGAAAATTAAGTTATATATTCATAAGTCTCCCAACATCAACAAACATTATTGTTCATCTCATTGATTAGGATTGTTTCAGTTTATCCAAAGTTCATTGGAAATCATCAATTGTTTCAAAAGGATTCAGTGTTTTTTTGTTTTCTATTAATTTGTGTTCATTTCGAAGTGAATTTCAATCATTCATCATGAATCGATCAGTTTTCTGGATTTCCTGTGAATTTTTTGTTCTATTTTGTCTTTGTACTTGTTCATTAGCTGATGATAAGGTTAATGATACATCGATTACTAAACGTCTTGGATTGGTCAACTATCTTTTCCCTGAACCCAGTGAACTTTTGTCTCCTCTTCTTCCATCCAGCCCACTCAGAAGGTCATCAGTCAATGGTCATTGGGTTTTCCCTCAGAGTTCAAGGAATGGGTTTTCCATTGCTTCTTTGATCCCTGGTGGAACCACCATGGATTTGGCTGAATCAGTTCCAAGATTTTCTTACTCTCGATTCATTAAAGATGGCGAATCAGGTTCAGGGCTCAATGATACCCAAGCTACTAATAGTTCATCGGCTTATGCTGAATATGGTCGTCGAAATGGAGGTTCGCCAGGATCTGTCGTTTCATCTGCAAACAACAATCAACAAATGAATCGAGATTCAAATTCTGGCCAACAAAGATCAGATCGTAATGATGATGTTGATATTGATGCTGAACTCAAGGCCGCTGATAAAGTTGTTGAATCAGCCATCGACTCAGGTGCAAACAATTCACCTTCTTCAACTCCTGGTCCATTAGATGATGGTCGAGGTTTCCGACGACCAGGAATGCGGCCACTTCGAGCTTTCCGACCTGGACAAGGAGGACCTGGTGGTCCTTTTGAAGGACCTTATGGACCTTATAGAGAGATGCGAGGCTTATCAGGTAATGGAGGTCATTTCGGCCCAATTCGTGGTCTCGCTGGCGGACCTGGTCTTTGGTCGCCATCGGCTTTCCCATTTTCAGGTCGACCACGAGTACCATTTGCTATGGGTATGAAATCAGGTCTTGGATTGAATGAGTTCAATGAAGGTGGTCGAGGTTCACCCATGTCAATGAATCCCCACCTTTGGAATGAAATTGATGCTTTAACTGCTAGTGGTTCGAATGGTGCTAATGGTGCTGTTCCCTCAGGTTCCTTTGATCTTCCTGCTTTCCCTCTTTCTGGTTTATCAGGTGAAGGTTATCCCCTCCTCGGTGGACCAACTTCTTTAGGTCTTTACCCACTCACTCCCGCTGCATCTTCCACCAACGGTCAACTTCATCCTTCTGCTTCAACTGCTCACGGTCAAGTCCTTCCCAGTCCTCTTCAAGGTGTCATGGGTGCTCCTGGATTACATGGTTCCCTCCCCGGTTCAGGTTTACCTGGATTAGTTGGTGGTCTACCCGGAGGCTTGAACGGTCCAGCTCCTGGTTCTTCTGGTTCTTCTGGTGCTCCTGGTGCTCCTGGTGCCTCTGGTGCTTCTGGTGCTGGTGACTCTTCCAATCTTGCTGATCTTCAGAAAGCACATCCTGGTCTTCACCCTGAACAATACAAGTACCTTCAACAATGGTACTCTTACCTTAATCAACCATCAATTAAATCTTATGTTGATTCTTTCCGAGACTCCGATGATCCATCATCTTCATCCGCTAAACCAAGTTCATCGTCTTCATCTCCCGATGCGAACAAAGAAGGAAATCGACCTTGGTTCCGAAATCTTCGACTATTCCCCAACATGGACATGACTCGACTTCAACTTCCCCGTGTTCGTGACATCTTCCGAAACATTGGCACTCGTCTAGGATCATCAACCGCTTCAACAAGCACCACAACTGAATCATCAGCTGATCCATTTAATGTTTAAATCAAACGATTAATAATCGATGATGAGTTCTGATGATAACTAATGATGAAATGTCGTCGGTGTTAAAACCCTTTTTCTACTCATTCAATTTCATCTTTCTTTCTTTTTCATTTTTTCTTCTCTCTTCATCCATCATCATTATCGTCATCATATTGTGGCTTCTTGACCGTGCCAAAATGATCTTAAGTCGACCTTCACAATCAAAATTCGTTCTCCAAAGAAAAGACACTTTTTTCTTCATATTCATACACAGTTATTATCTTTTTATTTGTCAATTAACTCAATCAAATATTTACAAATCTATCAACTCAATTGTGTCCAGTGATAATTCATTTTTTAAATTGAGATCAAATCTTAATCACAATGATTTCAATTCAACACATTCAGTTAATCAATTGTCCAATGGTGTTTAAATGGTGATTTCTGTTAAATTTTGTTACAATAAATTGTTTTTTTTACAACAAAAATCAATTCGTGTATTAATTTGTAGAAAACATGATGAAAACAATCAAAGTATAATATTAATGTTCAATTAACGATTAACGATTAACTGTTAACGCAATCATCTTCCAAATTGAATTAAAGGTGTGGGTAAATTGTTTGTTAAATTGTATTTTGTGGTTAATCAGTAAAAATTGATTACTCTTTCTAATTTTAATTAGATTGTTGAAAGTGAATCAACGACAATCATTTAGTTTTGATGTTGAACATTTTCATCAATTTATCCTTTCACTTGTTACTTGTAACGACTCTTGGTGATGCGTTAACGTGATTAACTCAATGTCAATTAAGTTAATCATGATCACATAAATCGACTCTTCTCTCATCATAATGTCTCTTTGATTGTCATCATTATTAATACATAAAGGTGTGGTTGAGTTGATTTAGTTGATGATAATGATGAATTTCAATGAACCTTAAAGCAACAAAATAACAACTTTATCACGAATTGTTGTTGGAAAAAAGTTCTAACGTCGATTTTGTTTTATCTTCTAATAAAAATAACGGTTTAATTTTCATTTCTAATTGATAATTATAATTTATGGTTCATTTAGTAAACTTGGAAAACAATCATAACTAATTTGAATAATTAAATCAGTTTAATTGTTGCTGTTTGTTTAAAGTCGTTTGAAGGGAAGGGCGAAAGTCGAATCGTCAATTTGAACTTTACCAACTCAATAAATGCACAATTTAAAATGCTTACAAAATGAATTGACTATTGATTAGTTAATTGGGAGACTTTGATTTAAATACAATTAACATACTATGGTAATTGTGTTGATCGACTTTGTTTCGTAGTTGATTGACTTATGGCTTTTCCTAATTTGGTATCCGTTCAGAATCTGATTGTTTGATTTGTCATTTTTAACTTTGATTAAAAGCATAAATTTGACTACATGATTAGTTGATTGCTCATTTAAATTGTTCATTTTGCACTAACTTTTCCTTCCGATACTTTCGTTAATATGATTAACTCTAATTGTAACTCTCGCAGTACTTTTAGACTACTTTAAGTTTATGGTTGAAAGAATCTCTTCTTAATCATCATTAGTTAACTGTAATTAACAACCAAATTGTGATTCAATACTAAGAGCAACAATTTACAAACTAATTTTATAAATATATTGTATTAAATATATTATATTATTCATGATGATTAAACTGATGAAATTGATTCCTGTTCAGGTCTCGCTTTTCTGATTTCTGTTCAAACCTGATTTTTTTCTGGCTTTTACCTTAATTGTCACTTGATTACTAATGAAATATAGATTGTTGTTAATCATTCTCTCCATCCGCTGATCATGTTGTTAATTAGAGTGAATTTTAGGCTGTAAATTCTGCTAATTAAATAACGATAAGTTAATTATCAAAAACGATTACTTGCTAATTAGAATATCCAATTTTCGATCATCTTTTTACATCCATTGACAATAGTTAATCAATTACGAGGATTCGGGCGATTTTTTCTCGGAATTTCAGCTAATAGAATAGTTGATTTATCTCGAGTTCAGTTCATAGTTGATTGAGATTAGCGATTGAACTGATTCTCGTTAATGATTTAACTTTATCAATATTTAAGTGAACCAATTCAAGAAATTTGTTAACAATCCAATCACATGAATTTTGAGCTAATTTATCTTTATCATTTCAAGATGAACAAGTTTGATTTGTATCATCGCCATTTATTGATTGTGGTTGAAGATCTAGACAACAATCAATTGGTGCCATTCGTAAGTAAACTAGCCGTTTCAATCGATTGTCGAAATCTAAAATTGAATTACGTGAGTTTATTAGGGAATAACAAATAAGATGAATACGTCTGAGTGGGTCGATTCTTTGGTGCGAAAAATTCAAATGTTTGAAGAAATGATTGGAAATATTAGTAAGAGATCATATTAATGAATAGTAATTGTGATGATGGTTAGTAAAATTCATTTACCAGCTGATGGACAAATCAAGTTGTTGAGACATTCTTTGCATTTGGGTTTATCAGCTGTACATTTCATTTGACCGAAACGAGGAATGAGACGGTTGAATTCATAAATCAGATCTTTTGAAAGCCAAGATTCTAATGCAACGCGAGTTTTTTCAGCATCTTTGGTCGATTTTTGAACCCAACCAAGTCGATTTGCAAGGCGATGCATATGCACATCAACTCCAAGTCCATCTGATTTCTTGTAACAACTTTGCAGAAACAAATATGCCATTTTTGGACCAACACCGGGTAAGTCGATCAAATCTTTAGCATTATCGGGAGTATCTCCATTGTAATTTTCTTTCAAAATAGTTGCAACTTTTCTTATGTTTGATGATTTTGTGTTACGAAAATTAACTGGAATACATTTTGATAGTTCCGCATCTGATTTCGCGAGTACCCATTCGATTGATAGGCCATCCGCGCAAAGCTCATTCCAAACTTTCAAAGTTTGTTCATCTTTAGTCTGACTGGATAACATGAGGGCAACTAAGATCCTAAAACGTTCCTCAGGTTTGGTATTCAAAGGGTCATTTTCAATGTACCAGGGCATTGATTCCAGGGGAGCTACAACTCCTTCCATCATCATTTTAATATTCTCATAAGTTTGAGGCCAATTCTCTGGAATCCAACCGGGCGATTTAGTTTCAGGCTTAGCCTCACCCTCGTCTTGGACAGTTACATGTTCTCTCTTGACCTTTTTCTCTTCTGGCTCATCACCTTTCGCCTTTTGCTTAACTTTAGACACCCTCTTCCTTGGCATGATCTAGAATATCAAATCAACAGATTAAAAATCCAATTAGAAATTTTAAAAGTTAACCAACAAACTCAACTATGAAAGGAGCCGAGAAAACACTGAAACATGAATTGTAACAGAATGAAAGCAAGTAGTCTTACCTCAACAATCGAGTTTAACAAATTAAACAATAAAAAAAATCAATTTGACGCCAAATTAAACAAAGAAAACGAGAAGAAATCAACTTATGAATCACAAGTTGAGAATAGAAAACATTTGATTCACGTGACAGGGACTTTTTTCTAATCTCCAATCTCATTTTCTTTTGTTTCCAACAAACTTGTTGATTAATTTCGCCAATTTGACGCTTCTTGTTTATTAATCGATTGCATTCAAATTAAAAGGAACTTTGAATGTTTTATAGATAATTGATCTAAATTTAAACTTCAAATTTTGAAGTAGAATTGAAATGATTTTAAATGGCTCCTTTGGAGAAAATATCAATTATGAATCGTCTTTATTAAACAGAAATGAGAGTTAAAAGAGCTCAAGGTGATCGATGTTTGGATGAATTGAGATCAACTGGCAGGAATCATACAACATCATAAAAAATTGAACTTTAGCTTAAACATTTACTGAACATTAAGTTTTCGATCAATTGTAAAAGCTTAAGGAGATCGATTACTTTTTGGTTTTTCTTGCTCCTTGACAAATCTTGTTGTTTAGACATTCACCGCACTTCGGGTCTTCGTTGCATTTTGTTTGTCCAAATCGTGAGATGAGACGATTGAATTCAAGCATCGTTTCCTTTGGAAGCCAAGATTCCAGTTGAGTGCGAGTTCTTGTATGACAGTTGACCGGCTTTGGAACCCAAGACAAACGATTGACAACACGGACAATGTATCCATCGGGTCCGATGCCTTCGACTTTTCCATAGCAACACTGAAGGAATAGAACAGCCGTTTTACTACCAACTCCAGGTAAGTCACTCAGCTCTTTCAAGGTATCTGGAGTATCTCCGCCGTGCTCTTCCTTCAAAATGGCGGCGGTTTGTTTGATGTGATTTGCTTTCTGTTTGTAGAAACTGCAAGATTTGATAAGATTTGCGATTTCATCCTGATCTTTCTCCAAGATCCAGTCGATCGAAAGTCCTTCTTCACAAAGAGCATTCCAAGCTTTGAGAAGCGGTTCATCTTTGGTTCGACTTGATAAAATTAGAGCAACTAAGATACGAAATCTTTCCAGTGGTTTAGTTTTTTTCGGATCTTTAGACTGAAACCAGGGCAGTGATTCAACCGGAGCAACAACTCCTTCCATCATTTTCTTTACGTTCTCGTAAGCTTCAGGCCAATTCTTGGGTCTCCAACTTTCTTTACTTTGTGTCTTTGTTGTTACTTCATCAACTTCATCACCTTCATCTTTCACAGCAATATGGTTCCGTTTGCTTCTTTTAACCACAGGCTCATCTACAATATCCTTCGCTTCCTTTTTGATAACAGCACCAGGCGCCTTTCGCCTCGTAACCTTGCCCATTTTCTCTCTTTGACCTAAAAATCGAAACAAAAAGCGATATAATCAAACATTCTGAAAGAGTCTCTAGAAAATTCAATGTATTTCCAATGGCAACCTGAAGATTGCATCAGGTTTGAGACGAAAGACAAAAAGAGAACAACAAATGGGAACTAAAGAGTAAAGAAGTTCCTTACTCTTTGACAGGGACACAAGTAGATTAATATAACTGAACAGAAACTTACCTTTGGAATGAGCTTTAAATAAATGAAAAATTAACAAAGAATAAATCACAAAATAAACAAAAGTTGAAATAGAAAATCAGTTGAACTGAAAATTTGAAAAAGAAAAATTCTTCACGTGACTTTAGGGACTTTCGTCTAATTGAGATTCTTCATGTGTTTCGATCGACAATTTAAATTGTAGAAACTAATCAATCAAAAGAAAAGATAATCTCTTGGACTCAATTGAATTGAATTAAATGAAAATGATCAAAATTTAAATCACATGAAAGAACTTCAATCAACTAAAATCTTTTCAAATTCCAAGAAATTTTTGATTTTCTCCCAAAAACTTTACCAATAATGAAAAGAAGAAAATTTTGCAACCAAATGAAATGAAAGAAGTTCGTCTTCACAATTTGATTCACAATTTGATTCGATTCATCAAATTTCCGATCAATTAATAGCAATTAGCATACAAATGGTTCGTTTTTACCGCTTGTCTTTTCTATCGCCATCTACTTTTGCTCTGTTGCTAAGTAGTTTCTTCATTTACGTCGTTTGTTAGGCGCGATTTCATTTCTTCCTCTTTGTTGTTCACTTGCTCTCACTTCATTTCTCTTCATTGTGTCATTTTAATCTCTCACTTTGAGTCTTCTAAATTTGGTTAATTTCAATTTTTAATTAATTAGTTTGTTCTTAAAACAATTAAATCGAAAATGTTTGAAGGTCGAATGATCCGTGGTTTTATCATAAAACGAATTCTTGAAGCCATCAAAGACTTGGTTTCGGAAGCTTCATGGGATTGCTCCACTACGGGAATGTCTCTCCAAGCCATGGACACTTCTCATGTCTCTCTTGTCTCAGTCCAGTTGAAATCAGAAGGTTTTGATAAATATCGTTGTGATCGTAATTTAACACTCGGAATGAACTTGGCAAGGTAAGATTCGTGTTCCCTTTTCCTCTGTGTCATCTTTTCTCTGGGCCTCATTTCCTCCATTCTCCTCATTTTCTTCCCTTTTCTCTGTATTTCAATCTCTTTTTTGTTCTTTTCTTTTTTGTTAAAAAGAACAATTTTCATATTCTATTCTACTGTGTTGTTCTATTCGTTTTTTCTTCTTGATTTTTCATTCCATCGGTTTTCTTAATTTTTTAAATTTTTGTCTCTTTTTACTTTTTCTAGTTTGGCTCAAATCGTTAAGGCTGCTGGTAATGATGATGTAATTACCATTAAAGCTCCCGATGATGCCGATAAAATAACTCTTATTTTCGAAACCAAAAATGAAGCTGAAAAATGGGAGTATGAAATTAAACTGATGAATCTTGATTCCGAATATCTTGGTATCCCGGTAAGATAAATTCGCTCCCGCTCAAAGCTTTGTTCTGTTTGGCGCTAATTTTATCATCTCTTTCCTCTTACTAACTCAACACTTAACAATCTTTCTTTTCTTGTTCCCTTACCTTTTATCTTCAATAGGAAACCGACTACAGTGTAAAGGCTCTTTTACCTTCTCATAAATTCCAAAGAATTTGTCGTGACCTTTCCCAGATCGGGGACTCAGTTACCATCTCAGCAGCTAAAGATGGAATTCGATTCTCGACTACTGGAGACTTGGGATCTGGAACAGTGAAACTCAACCAAACAGCATCGGCTGATAAACCCGAAGAAACGGTTTCAGTTAAAGTTGAAGAACCGATTATTCTCTCATTTGCCCTCAAGTATCTCAATCATTTCGCCAGAGCAACTGCTCTCTCACCTCAAGTGTCCCTCTCATTGTCGAAAGATGTTCCATTAGGTAAGTCTTTTTAAACGCATCAAATGACCTTAAACGCCTCAGTTAATCCTAAACTCCATTTTTTCTTTCTCCCGCTTTTATCATCAATTACCTCTAGTTGTTGAATACATGATTCACGATGATGATGACGATGAAATTGGTTACATAAGATACTACTTGGCGCCAAAGATTGAGGAAGGAGAAGAATAAAAAAGGATGTGATCTTCAAGAAGAAAAGAAGGCGAACCAAAACAAAAAATGGAACATAACAAAACCATAAAATTTTCTAATTTCTTTTTTATTTTCATCATCACTAAAAAAATTAAATAATTGTGATAACAAAGTCAATTGTGTTTTCTTGCCAACGGCATAACAGGATATGTGTTAGTTAACTTTGGCAAAAAAGGGAACATTAAAAGCAACTTTGGTAATGTTAGTTTGATCCCGTTGGATTTTTAACGAATCAAAATTAATTACCTACTAATTAGCCAAATAGAGGTGAAGACAATGAAATTCAATTCTCGTGGACAATTGAATGAGAAATAACATAAAATTTCGATGAGTTTTATTGCTTGAAGAAACTGTTCGGTTAAGTTGATTGATTAGATGGAGAGTCTAATTGTGACTTAATTATTTCTAAATCCTCGGTTGATATTTTAAATAACTGTTAAAATCTAATTTTGATTAGACGATAAACTGGTTCATTTTTGAAGAAATCGTTTTATTGTTTGACCTTTGGAATTATGTTGATGAAGTAATTGGATTGATAATGATTGAAATTTTGACTTTTCGTCTATTTGATTGTTCAAATTTTCCAATTGAATATTTTGTTTTCTGAGTCTCTGGAATCGCAAGCGAAAAGAAAATCGAGTTTTGTACAAAAAAATAAAAGTTAATAAATCGAAAAAAACAATTTAAAGAAAAGAAAATATAAGAACGAAATGTCAATTCCGTTGATTCCGCTAGTTGACTTGGTAGAATTCGTGAGAAATTTTTCGAGTCCAACTGAGAGTTTCCAATTGATTGTTTGAACTTTTCTTGAAATGAATCAATTATTTACGATGATTAAACTGATTGTTACATGATTCGGGATAACAATCAAGATTATTCAGTGTGGTCGATAATGTAAATGACGATTTGTGAAGACGAAGATAATGGAGATAATCTTAGAATCCATGAAGATTGGCTTGGAATTGAATCAACTTTAATTGCTGAAAGTGACCTGATTGATTGGTAGATAATTGATGAGAAGGAAAGAGATTAAAGATGATAGATGAGCGAATGGTTTTCATGATGATGCTGGTGACTTGTGGTAATGTTGCTGGTGGATTTAATCATCGTACAGATAATTAAATCTGAATAAAATTGGTGTTGGTTAATTTCAGAATTTTGAAATAAAGGTGAAAGCCGCATGAAAAAGGGAGCAGAAATGATGAGAAATGGCGAAAGAGAGAAGTCGACAAAAGGACAATCATTACAAGATGAAACCTCTAGAGGTCAAAGATTCTCTCAGGATATTATAAAGCTCGATCTGATGTTCGGGTTCGAGGGAATTAACTTGCAAGATAACTGATTGTAGATTTGGAGCAGCAATGAAACTAGAAATGTAAACATTAACGAAAGTGGCCATTAAGAATTGGCAATCGAATCGATCCATGATTCCGCCGTGACCTGGAATCACATCGCCAAAGTCTTTGATTTTGAAAGCTCGTTTGAATCCACTGGCAAAGAAACCGCCGAAAGGTCCGATGATTGAGCTGAACAAAGACAAAGAAAACGAATGCAACACGAATGGATAAAGTTTTATAGTTCGAGGAATATGTAACTGCAAAGAAAAAAATAGAAAAGAATTAAATAATGTTCACAATTAGATTTAGTTGAATGATGGAAATAATTAATGAGGTTCGAAGGGGAAATGAAATTCCATTAATTAGCTGATTGTCTTTCACAGTAGTTAAACAATTGGCGATTTTCTAAGAACCTTGCAAACAGTTAATCAAAAAATAACAATTTTTCATAATAAATAAGCAAAAGTCAATCATGAAAAGTCAAATAATCAACAATTAAATTAAAATCTGTCAATGATCTTGCGAAAAGTTAAATTTGACTTAACGAATTGTTCACCTAAATTCAGTGAATAGTCAGAAAACCTCAAAAGGCTAATGAAAAATCAAATTATTAATAAAATTCATTAGTTAATTACGTTTTCAGAGCTTTTATTGCCTGAGTTCATATCATGAAGATGTAATTCATGAGAAATTGAAATAATCTCAAATAGAGATAATCAATGATGATGATGATAGAAAAGGTTTCACATTTGAAAGTAGATAATCAGAAAGAGAGATGATAAATTTTGTATCCTGTTATTCTTAGATTTCTATTTACCTAGTAACCACTATTAGAAATGTTCGAGACTGTTCTCGAAAAGGTTTCACAGCGATTGTTAATACGATCAGTAAACAATTAATGCAAATCAAAATAGAACAGGAAAAGCAAAAGGAAACAGACCCGAATTATAAGAATAGCATTTGCAGGATGAAAATGAGAAACAAATAATCAACTGCTCTCATATCGACTGAATGAAATGGAATCATTTTCATTAGTTCAGAGAGAGAGAGAGAGAGAGAGAGAGAGAGAGAGAGAGTATGATTGATTCGTGACAATTTCAAGAAGAATGTTAATTGGTCAACGAAATTATTGAGTTTGACTGTACATTCATCAGTTTTCTCTTTACTCTTCCATCTCAACTTTTAAGACTTCTCTTGATTCAATTTCAAGGTTCCTTTTGTACAGATTTCTTATGACTTTGAGATCATCATTCGTTTCTATAGAGATGGTGAATGTAACGTAACTGTCATGAGTTAGTTACATAAATAAATCAACTAACAAGGATTCAAGAAAGATGAGAGCATCCATGTTACTTCCTGTAACTAAGATACCAAGGTTTTTTTTCTGTCATCTTTTTTGACATAAACTCTAAATTTCATCAACTTAATCCACATCTAGTTGTAAATTAAAGTCTTCGGATAAAATTTCACCAGAAGAAGAAAAGGTAATGAATGAGTGAAGAAATGAATCTTTTTCTAATTACCAGTCTGAGAAGAACACTGAAATTTCGTGGTAACTCGTATTCGCTAAGCTGAAACAATGGCGATGGATTACAGGTCATCACGGTTTTCTCAAGATCTTCGGAATATCTGATGGGACAGACAAAGTATTCAAATTGGCACATAAAATGAGAGAACTGTAAAATAGAAAAGACAAAATATGATGGAATATAAATAATTGCAATTAATTAACAAGTGAATGAAGGGATAAATAATCACCAGTAGACCGAGAATGACAGTTGCTATACCACCACCGATGAATCCTTCCCATGTTTTCTTGGGCGAGAGCTTAATCAAAGGTGTACGGCCAAAGAAGAAACCAAATAAATAGGCCATAACATCGTTACATATGATCATGGAAACGGGCACGATGAACCATATCAATCCTTCAAACATATTGGATATAATGAAATATGATTGAGTAACTACGATTAAAAGAGTAACATGAGTCCAAGCAAACTGTGGAAATGAAGATACACAGAACGATATTGAAATGTTAATTGACTTGAGAGACTTAATAACAAATTGTTATGACTAATTTAATTTACCAATGAAAATTGTCGCATATAATAACGCTTTTTGAGACTCAAAACAAACCAAACGAATCCAGTGATGTATAAACAAAATGAGATAAATTTATGGTAAGTGACTAGTATGGCCATGAAATTCTGTATTGGAGAAATTGATTGGTAAAAGGTTCATGAATTGATCTTTAATTAGTTAATTAGTTCATCTAAATACTTACAGGCCGTTGCAAGAGAACAGCAAAATAATGGATAAAACTGGGTCCAAATAGGAAATAATTGGATGTCAAGAGAAAGTACCAAGAGAGAGATCTGAACCAGGGTAATCCATGTACTCGATAAACAGCATAGCCAACAGAGATAATTTCTTGAAAGCATTTAACTTGAACAATTAATGTCTTTTAGTTGGAAGAGAGAAGAACGAATGAAGAAGATGAGAGATAAATAAATTGATCTAATTAAACACAGCTGATCAACCATTGGTATTAATTGCTTGCAAAAGTTTGATAAATTGATGTGTGAGTTCAGGGTATCAAAGGTGCATAATGAGTATGTTATGACAATCAATTATAAATAGTAAATCATTTGATCAGCCCGTTAGCTTATCATGCACCATGATTAGAATGATAAATAAATTTTAACAGAAATTCTTACAATTAAAATGAGAGCCAAAGGTCCAGCATAAATTAGTAAACCAAATCCAGCGACCATAAAGATTGTGAATATTGATCGGACAATTGAATTTCGAAATTTTGATGGAAAATAAGCCAAACATGTTTCTATGATTGGATTAGTTTTATCCTGTGGCTGAGACAATGATTTGAGATAATCATCCTTTTTTAATAGTTCTTCAACTATTTTCTCTTCTTCCGAGTCAACGCCATCGAGAGAACTCTGCCTGTCAAGAAGCTTCTTGTAAACATAAACAAAAACAGAGACAAAGACAAAGGAATGAAAATGTATTAGATATCAACATAAAAATCATCGAATATTAAATATTTCAGTAAATTGGAGCAATAAGAATAGAGAAAAAGAGATTTTTGTCGAAAAAATTTTGGAATCTTGTGAGAATCGATGAAAATATCGAGAAAACTGAAGGATTGTAAAAGAGAAAAATCAATAAGAGAAAAGAAATAAATACCTTGTCAGTCATTTTCTCATCATCATCATCTTCACTTTGATCTTTCACAGGTCGGTGACGAAGGTCTGAGGACATGGTCACTGATTAAAAGTCGCTCCGAATTGTGACCGCTACACTTGCCGAAAATACCAATGAAACACCAAGTGAATTAACAGTTGGCCAAAAGACAGAAAATAAAAACATCTCAATCTCTCAAAGTGTTACCTTAGTCTCTCTTCTTTCCCCTCGACCAACCGATTCACTTCCCCTTTTTCCATGCAAATGTAGCGACATCAAGGGGACACAATATCAACTCTTTTTCTTTTTTTAATTCTCGTTAATTTCATTCATCTAATTAATCTCATTTCTCTCTTTAGGCTCATTATTCTCGTTTGTAGTTTCCAATAATCAACACCACCGAAATAATCCAAACAATTACAATAACTTAAATTGAGATTTAGTCTGAAAATTGATTTTATGATTTATAACATTTCCTAATTAGATTGTATCATTTATATTTTTTGCTTCTTCAGCAACAATTTAATTTCTGCCTTTTTCTTTATCAATGAGATTTAATTTCAAGTCTCTTTGATTAGTTGTATCTTTAAATTGAGTAATCGACACGATTCCTTTTCCTTATTCTTTCAGTCGAATTCAATTAACTAATTAATACGTTTGATTCGTCGAGTGATTTTATATCAACAAGTATTTCAAGTGTGATAATTATTTTCCAATAAAATATTTACAAGATGAAAAAGGTTTTCATGTTTATTAATTAAGTGAATCGAGTATTATAACAATCAATTGGTTAATAATTAATTAATAGTAAAAAAAGTAGCAATGATTCGTTGATTTCTTATTGATTAGTTAATTGGCAAAATGGCGATGGTCTTGTCGATGGATAATTAATTCATTTGTTCTGGTGTCTGATTAGTTCATGTCTCCAGAGTGCTGTTAATGTTAATCAACCTCTGATCACCTTTCACTTCAGGTTGATCAATTACCATTGATTGATTTGATTCTGATGTAAGAATTGATGTTAAGTTTAGTGTTGATTTTTCTGATGTTGATGGAAATGGATAATTGTGTTTATCGTTGAATTGATTGTTCGAATTGTGATCGAAATGTCCAGAACTTCGTCTGATGATCTTTCCTGTTGAATGTTCTATTTCACGAGATTTTTTTGACCTTTCCTCTGACAATTTATTCATTAATTGAATGAGCCTCGAATCGATTTTACTTCCAAATAACTTTTTCTTTCCAAATAAATTGCTGATCTTTTTATTTTTTCCATGAGACATCATTAGGGTTGAGAGTTTTTCTTGTAAGGATCCAACTGAATCTGAGGGTGAAAAGGTTGATGACGATTTTGAATTTGGACGGAAAGATAAATGGCCAAATTTAGAGGCGGAATTGGATGAAGCCACACGAGCAGCAACGGGATTGAATTGTGAGATCATTTTGGAATGGAGTGTTGAAGGCAGGTCGATATCTGTGGACATAATTGATGGATTACCAAGACCCACTTGATTGTGAAGATTGTTAACCAAATCGCGATATTGGGTCAGGCTAATTGGATCTAAAGTCTCGAATGATTTAGGATGAGGTTGTAAAGTGAACGAACTGTAAGGTTGGAAAAAAGTAACTGCTTCATCAGGAATTAAACTCATTGCATGATCGAAATCAGATGAATGATGATAATGATGATTGTTTAAAGGTTTATTTGAAGAGAGAAATTGAGATGAGGATGGATGAAGAGCTTGATGAGAATGATGATAATAATGATGAAAAGGATGAGAGTGAGAATGATGGCCAGTTGGATGTTGTTGATGATTTACTGAAGAATCGAGATAATTTAAGTAAATATCACGAAGTCTTTTTGGTTCATCAACTCCTGGCTTATGAACTATTGGAGAGACATAACGATTAAATGAATTTCGACAGGAATATGGTTGACCTGGATAACCATGAACACAATAACCAGGAGCCTTCAAAGGTCGTGAAGATGAAATCGAAGTAGCTGCTGAAGTAGAAGGTGAAGAAGATGAAGGATGATAAGGCCGAGATGATAAGTGCTCATGTAGAGACGAGGTCGGTGGAGAAAGGGATGGAGATGAAATACCTTCGGGAATGAAGTAACTGTTTTCTTCAACAAAGGCCAAAGGTTGACCTTCATCAGACACTAATTGTTGTAGCAATAAACGACGATAGAGCTCATCGAAAACATTTACATTCGGACTCAATGGCATAACCATTGGACCTTCGTAAAGTCCAGCTAGTCCTAAGGGGCTAGGAGATGCTTGGGTCAAGTATTGGCCAGATGGATGAGAAGAAGTTCCAATGACCTGTCGTTTACCTCGATGTCGACGTGATCTTAATGCTAATATGTGCTCTTCGAAAAAGTCTTTATCATTACTCTTTATATTTGATTGTTTAATTGGTAAAGAAGAAGAAGGCTGGTCATTAATTTCGTTTGGAGAGGATGGAACAACAATTCGATGATAATCATTATCATCGTTTCCAAGTAAAGAGTTGAAACTCTTGCTATTGTCCATCACAACTCCTCGAGGTTTGTGTTGTTGCTGTTGGTGTTTCGAGGATTGGTCGTTGTATTGACCAACATTCGGTTGTCCACTGTGCCAACCATCTTTTAGATTCTTATGATTTGAGACTGTCCATGGAGGAGGAGAGCTCGAAGGTGGTTTCCATTGATGGCCAGGCTCTTGTGGTTTGCGTCTTTCGTTATAAATTTCATTGTATTTCTGTCGATTGTTGCGAATTTTATCTTGTTGCTCATGTTGGTACATCGCTTGTCGCAGTTCATCTTTGCTTAAGGGTCGAAGTGATTTAGGTTTTCCTTGATTTCTACCCCATAAGAAAGTAAAACTATCTTAGGATCTCTGAGTTCAGCTTTATTCCCAATCGAATTGTAATTACGGTTTAGGTTTCCGGCGTTCTTTTTGGAATTGACCGTTTCAACGTTCATGATCTTGGGAACTTTTTCAGCCGAGACATTTATCCTATGGGAGATGAACGGAGTCTCTTTATCCAGCATTTTAGCGGCATCGGGATCAACTGGCAACTTGACCGCTGTTCCTTTGTCACTTTTACCATGAATATCTCTCCCATTACCTATCGTAGTGCTGCGACTTTTACCATGCTCACCTTCATCTTTTTTTTCTTCATCATCTCCATCATCATCTTCAGTTTCGTCATCTTCTCCTTCATCTCCAAGATCACTTTCTTCATCGTCTTCTTTCAATTGCTTAGCCTTTTCATCATTCGTTTCATTCTTAGTCATTGGTATTTCCGGAATATCAGGAAAATCAGGGAAAAATATTCGAGATCCTTTTTCTTTCTCTGAATAATCATACAAGAGATCATCCGCTTCCGCTAGTCCAGGAATCTTTAATTTCTCGTAAACATTAAACCCCTAAAACGAATGAAAATAATGAAAAAAATACATGAATTAATTTTTCTAATTCTAATTCAGATTAAAACGAAATCTATTAGTTGACTGAGATGAAGAAAGTCATTGACCAGTCGTTTGATTGGTTGTTGACAATAAAAGAAATTTTCATTTCGAGCAAAATGAAGGTTTACATTTTCACTTAAATTGTTAATCATCAGACTTAACAAGTGGATTAATCAATGAATCTCCATTGTTCACACCTAAAGGCAAGAAAATGTTCTGCAATAATCATCTTCTCATCGTGTCTATCGCTTAAACCATTTCACGCTTCGTTTAGATACTAACTCATACATGGAAAGTGCTGAAAGTGCGGACATGAGAAGAAAATTATCAAAATGAAAGTAAAAAATAATGATGAAAGTTTTATTTTCATCGAAATGATCTCAATAGAAAAATCATTTTCTCTTAAAAAAATTGGAGATTTGAGGCCTTACTAAGTCATTGTTTCACCAATAATCCACTATGAGAACAGTTAACTTGATCAATGGCTCATTAAATTGCTGATTATTGGCATTAATTGAGCGATTATTAATAACTCTTTGGTTTGATATCGAAGTGTATCAATCATTTGTTGATTGTGAGACTCACCTCTTCTAGAAGCTTGAGAAATGCTTCATCGTTTTTGCCTCCATTTTCATAGGAAACTTGGTTTTCCAATCCCCTGGTCGGTTTACCTCCGATCGGACTTGTCACTCCAGGCATCAGTTCAACCTCAAGAGACGATTGAATTGAACCAATGGAACCGATCAAATTAATTGTCGACACAATTAATAGGACCTAAGATGTGTAAGGATGATAAAATTACAATTAGTTTATGAGGTTGTGTTGTGATTGTTAATCAGCAAATGTTTTATTGGCTTGTTAGCAAATTCAGGCTCATCTTTATTTCTTGATTTAGTTTCTTTTGGCCTTAATTGTTGATATTTTGTTCACTCAAATTGATTTCTATTGATTGTGAGGACTTACCTGCCTACACCAACCATTGTCAATCGATTGTTTCTATTTCTTAATTGTCCCTTGATTAGAAAGGAGCTAAATTAAACTCAGAAGTACAGTTTTAAACAATTAAAATCAAATAAAATCTAATTTTTCAATTCATTAGATTAACTTGTAATCTTTATAACGTTTTTGGCTCTTCTTAATCAAAAACTGATTGTTATTCAACCGATTATGGTGATTCTTTCATTCAACTAATTGTTACTAATTCTTAAGAACTAGTTTGTGATCAATTTAGTAACGACAAAAACAAAATCAATTAATTCAAGTTGATGATTAATTAAAAAGCTTGAACATTAATTTTCGTTAATAAGACTATCATTTTAATTAGTGATTCCTTTGTTAGATTGACGATCGTTAATCAATATTATTATTTTCTAAATACTAAAATAAGAACTAATGATCGATTCGAGAGCATTCAGAACTTTACGAACTTCGATAAGAATCACTAAAAGTAAACCGACACTTCTTCAAGTCTCACTGGTATCGAATCGTTTCAATAGATTATAATCAATGGAAATTAATTAAACTCACCTTAATGTATTCTAATCCGATTTGATTGGAATAAATCATCATGGCGATGGCATAAAAACTAATCAGTTGTTGATATTAAACAAAAAGACACAGAATTAGATTGTAAGTTAACAGGCAAACAAATGGACGTTCACTTGTTGATCACCAAATGTAATTAACAATCAAAATCGTTTGAGTTTTTACTCGACCAACGAAACTATCAAATGTTTAATGCTGAAAGTGAAGATGATGAGGATGAGGATGAGATGAAAATGATGATCGATTGGGGATCAAGAAAACGCCTTCGAAAAGAGACAAACCTTAACGGTTTTTTCTTCTCTTTTTTTTCTAATCTTGTTTTCAATCGAAACCTTTTGTTATACATTTGTCTTAATCATCTTCATCTCTTTTATCATCTTTTGTCTTCCTTTCTCTCTTTCTCTTTCTCTTTCTCTTCTTTCTTATTCTTTTTTTCATCTTTCACCTTTTTCATCTTAAAACCAACCCATTCAAATGATAATTCAGTGAGTTAATTGAAGACAATTAAGTCTCTGTGTTGATCATTTTTCACTTGAGACTTTTCATCTTCATCATTCTGATCATCTTCATCTTTTAATAACTCAAATTTGTGTTCGAACATTAAATTTGGTGATTCTCATGATACTTAAGCATCGAATTTGATTCATTAACTGTTTAGTGTCAATCTCATATGCAAATATAAATACATGATCGTAATTAGTTAATCGATTTTTCTTCTCTCATTAAACATTAAACTCGGTAACTTATTCACTAACGATACTTGCATCATCCTTTCATCATCCTCATCATCCATTTCCTAGTTTCCTTCCTGTTACTACTGACGATTTCTATTCGTGCTCTTTGCTTACATTATAAACAATATCGTTAATTAATTGAACAATTGCGAACTAACAACAATTATATTCACTTTTTGTTTCAACATTTATATTGTAAGTGTTTTAATTAATAAACTTTTTGATTCTACAAGCTAATGATTCTGTTTAAATGTTTAAATTGCTCAAGTGAACCTTTTCAATTCGCTATCACAATTTACTGATTACTTTTTACCTCTTTATTTGATAATCAGCCATTCAACAATAGATAATCAAAATCGTCATAGTGAATTGATTAATAATAGATTTTTTTATCATCGAGTTGATTGTAAACATATCAATGTATTCATCTAATGTTTTGTCTCAGAAATTAACAGAAACATCAAATTAAATCAGCTAATTGATCATCTTCCTGTATTAGCACATCAATTGACCATTTGAAGAGTTTAATTGTTTCAAAGTTAAACCATCGGAAGTATCAGTTACCAGTTGAAACAATTCAATCGTCAACAATTAACTTATTCAAACACAAAATTGAATTAAAAGTTTTGGATATGATTTAATTCTGAGTATTAATACAAATTGGAGCCAAAACAGAAACATTTAATTTATCAATATAATTATTATTTACTATTGACTCACTTGACACAATTAATTAATTATCAATTTAACAGTTTACAATAATTTGAGTATTGAATGAAACATGATTACTAAACGATTGAGTGTTAACAATGACAATATACCAAATAAATTACAATTTAAATTGACAAAAGGAAAAGGGTAATTTAACAGATAGACAGTTGATTTAATTGTTGATGATTAGTTTCCATGATATGTTAGTGAATTTCATTGCTGATTTAATATACTTTGGAATGGCTTTTGGTCTTAACTTCATCAATTCGGAGGAATCAAAGGAAGGATATGATTTCGTTAGTGATTAAGTAAATTGTGATCAACAATTAGGATTGTTTCTTGAAAAAGACTCGCTTCTCTGTAGGCTTTTGTACAGAGGCTTCCATTCCCTTGAGAAAGGCTTGAATCGCATCGCCCAACATCATGGCATCAACGACATTGGATTCGTCCCATTTAACTGCAGCCACTGATGAGGAAGATGGTGATTCTGAGTCATCTTGATTCTCAGTTGATTCAGTCAGAACTTTTTTATCTGAAGCCAGATCGTTATCTGTGGTTGTTGTCGTTGCTGATATTGGGGAGGGTGAACTTGTTACAGTTATCGATGAATTAAAATCAGTTGTGTTTCTAGAATTATTATCGTGGTGGTCTTTAAATTGTATTCCCCGACCTGAACGATTCTTTGGTGTCTCATGTCGATTTTCATGAGAAAGATCAAATTTGAGCGTTGGTTTCGAAGGAACAACAATTCGAGTCTCAATAAATCCAAGGGAATCGTTTGTTGAACTATTATCAGCTGATGAATTGGGTCTTGAATTACTATTATTCTGATTATTACTATTTGAATTGTTATTCAAATCAGCTGATGGGTTTTTCTTAAGCGCACTCTTTTTTACTAATTTACGTGTTGCGTCAATTGATTGTTGATCAGCTAATTGAACTGTATTAGTAGAGATGGATGAGGTTTTCAGGATAACCTTTCGGGGTCCGATTGATGTTGGTGATACATTACCGCTCGGTGGATCTGATTTGATGATTGAGGGTTTAATTGTTGCTGTCGGAGTTGCTGTTGATGAAGATGATGGTGAAGTGTTAAAAGGTGATGATGTTGTTAATGTTGGTGAAGTTGTTGATGAAAGAGTTACTGGTGAATTGGATGTTGATGCTACTTTAGTGGCTTCGGTTAGTAGATTGATCAAATCTTCACGTTTACAAACTATTCCTTCATCTTGACTTCCAGATCGACTTGTTCGCGCTGATCCAGTTCGAGAGTTGGATGACAATCGGCGTCCGGAACCTTCGCTTTCATCTCCAGGACCAGGACTAATTGAAGTAGTTGAGCTTTCATCGCTTCCTCCGCCCGTTGATCGCTTACGAAGTGAGGCCAATTTATTTTTCAACACCTTCCATTCAGAAGCTGCTTTACTATTACCTGATCGAGTTCTGACAATACTGGATTTCGTTTCTGATGATGATGAAGATGGATCATCTTTTATGATGTATGAATTTCCTTCATGTTGATGACGAGATGAACTTTTGATAACTGGTGCTAATGTTGTCGATGTGGCAGAATCTCCTGTAGCTGTTACAATTATCGATGATCGAGTGGGCGAAAGAGCTGGTGTGTGATTGTGTGAATTGCTATTCGAGCTGTTGTTATGTTTATTACTTTTCATCGCTCTAATCACTTCGATTGAAGATAAAGTTCGGCTAAAAATCTTCGTAGACTTCCAACTAACACGTGTTGAACTTGGCGAATCACAAGTTGACTTATTAGAACTTTCCGTCGAATCATCGTTTTTCGCTGTTTCGTCGACAACTGGAGGCTCTTTGATCTTGTACGATCGAGAGCGGAATGCTGATGAACTGGTCATTTCAGCGATACTATCAACTAATTAGCAAATCCAAATAAAGCCACAAAATACACGAGAGTACAATTAACAAATTCGATGAAATATTTCAAAAAGGAAGACACTTCGCTCTATCAGAATTGATTATCATGTCTCTAATTAATGCAGATTAGTTGTTAATCTCATGGTCTCACTGAAATTAATCCAAAATCTGTTAGAAACAAGGAGAAGATTGAAAAATTGTTGAAAATGATATTAAATTAACTCTATTGTTGATTGTTCCCCTCAATTGATGATTTATATGGAGAAACAATTCCGTGCAAATCAATTATAACGAGAATACATGACAACTAATAGAGTAGAAAAAAGTCCAATTAGAAACCACGAAAAAATTGGTCCCATTAATCATTTGAACAACGATTCCAAATATTAATCAATGATTCATACAGATAACCGGAGGCTATTGATCAAATCAACAAGAGGCTAAAACTCAATTATATTTTGCTATTGATCAAATTATCTTGATAATAATAACCTTGAATCAAGGCTTGAGTAATATTAACCATTGTTGGGTAATGACAATGATCATTGTACCATGTCAATGTCATGGTAATGATGATCTTTCGAGAAAAATGGTTCTATCAACTTGAATCAGCACGAAAATCTTATTAATATCTAATAACTTTTAACATTTTCCAACGAAAATGAACACAAAATTCGATAAATTTATTCCCTTCGATCACCAGCATCTTGATCATGAACAGTAGGCGATAGAAAATGAAGATTATGATTGTTATTACTTTTGACTGGAATAAAAATGAATAAAAAAGTTCTGGAGAAATATAAAATTATATTATTATAAAACTGTAAACAAATGATATCAAATTTTCTCAATATAATATCTGTTTGTTTATTCTGTTGAAATTCATGAGAAAAGAATAATATCTCTTACCCAGAATCCTTAGAATCACTCAAAACGATATTTAATATGTTATTTCTTTACTTCTCAATTCATATCTTCCTGATGATATTTTGTATTCAGGTTGGAACTTTTTCATTTTGAATTAAATGAAAATACAGTAGCATTTTCCATTCCATGATTACTTTCATGCTGATTGATGACGATAACTCTTGATAGTTTTCTTGTTCCCTACTCCATCTTACCCTGAGGTGATTCAATATCTATTATTATTTACTATCATGATAATGACACTGTCAACATCGTTTGATATCAACTTTTCATGTGTAAATGTTCATGTTGATTTGTCTTAGACATTTTCGATTCAATTTGGAATTTTATTCACAACAAATACAATGTAAGTTCTGATCTATCAAAGAGCATAAATCTAAAATAATTTCATGATGGCGACTAATTTACGATTAATCTATTCACTCGAGTCTTTTTCAAGCAAAAAGTTTAATTATCAATGGAATGAATGATTTATTAATAGATAAATTGACTCTGAATCTAAATCTTGGTGATATATTGGTGACTGTACTTTTATCATCAAGTTTTATCACTTTATTGTATTGCTATTGAGTATCTTTCCTTTTGTATTATTTCAAATGATGACAAAATATTTAATTTCATTTTTATTGTCATCTTGACAAAATACACTTAAAATTGTTCATGAAATATCAAGATAGGTTCCTTTTTTCATGATAATAACCTTGAACATGATGACAAGAAATGAGAGATAGAGTTGAAGAGCAGTTGAGATATTAATACTTCTGAGTAGATTGAGTCTTATTACTTGATGACATTTATATATAAAAGAGTATCGCCAACAATATATTACATTTCCTTCATTGGAAATGATTTTCTTGTCAACCCAAAAGATACATAAGAAACCGGAACTTTATTGAAACTGAATTTCCACCTTGGTGAATTTCAAGAGACTCTGCATTTATTTTCTTCTGAAAATCACTCAAGTCATCATGAGATTTGAATCAAAAGATAAAACCACAAGAATAGAAGGAAAAAATTCAGAACTATCGTGGAACTTATTACAAAAGAATACTAATAATATGATAATTAGGAATCTTTTCGTGCATCTAATTGTGAAGTAATGTGATAACCTTTTTATTATCTTCATTATATTAATAATAACCGTTCTAAGTACGATCAACATAATTTTGCAATAGTTTCAGGGAAAAGAAAATATTAAGCTGTTAATGATTTTTATGAAAACGAAAAGAAATTTCAAAATGTAAATTGAGGAACACAAAATTATTATATCGAATGAGCTATTTAGAAAATTCATATTCCAAGCTAAGTTCCAAATGATATTAAAAAATCGATGCCCGTTCATACAACTGATTAATCTTGGATTCTTTCAGTGATCTGGTTTTTGTTTGTATTTGAATAATAAACACAAAAGGCTCAGTACATTTACAGGAAAGTTCTTGATTTGTATTAATAACAATCTATTCAGAATATTAAATTTGAGAAAATGTTTTTTATTTGTAAATTCGTTTACATATCAAGATTTATATTCACTCTCACTTAACATGACATTGATTTTAGTAAAATAATAATGAACAGTTGGAATGATAATGTGAATAAATCTCAGGTAAATCGAGAACTCAGAAAGAACTGTGGATAAAGGAAAAGAAATAAAGAACAGAAAATTTTATCGATTTTTCAGGTTCTAAAGAATATATGAACCATGGTGATGACGATAATATAGTTTATAATGTGACCTTGACCTAAATCTGTTGATCATCATCATCATCGTTATCCTGAAGATGCTTCAAGTTTTTCAATCATTTAACTGATTCCTTGATTCCTCAATAAATATCAATGATACAAACATTAATAAATAAATCAATCATCATAATGAATATGAAAACACATGAAAAAGATACTAAATGATTTAAATCAAACAAATGATGATCACCATCAATACAACGACAACGACAATTTATCAATCAGATTGTAAATAAATATGAATGGTGAATATTTATATTAATATTTTTACAATTGTATTAATAATAAAAAATTAAAACTCAATTATTAATGTTCAATATCAACAGTTTTTACTTTTTAATCTTTTACTTAATCTAAATTAGTTTCTGTGATCAATAAGCAGAAAATGTAATCAGTAATTAGTCAAAATTAAATCACTAATTTGTAAATTTGATTTGATCATCATTCTCATCATCATGGTTATCATGATTGAATTGATTGTGATCAATTGTCTACATGGATTAATTTGTAATCAATATCAGTTTATTAACATGGACATGAAATAGTTACTCTTTGAACAATTTAATCTCATTTCAACTTGAGTTGTTTTAATTAAATTGATTCACTAATCAAGTAAAACCTTAAGTTAATTGGGATTCTTCAAGTTTTTAGTGAATAAAACAAATCTAATTGTATTGTAATTAATGTGTTTATCACAATTAGAATACAAGCTTTAAGGTATTTAACTGAAAATTGACATAAATTAAATTGATTATTTGTCAACCGGAGCTTTAATTATTGAAATCATACCAATAGTAGATCAGATTTTGAGTTCTAATGACATCATTATAGAAAATACAACAATTAACAAAAAATCAATCAAATATTTTAACTAATTGTTGAAAATAAATTAACTTTATAGCTCCTCTATGGGTAAAACAATGTTAATCTTATGAAACATTATCGACGGTTATCATTATCTAATTGTTTCTTTAAATTAAATAATTAGAGAACTAATCAAATTAACAATATTTTTTCTTACCATATAGTAGATTAGAAAATGGACTTTAATTTCAATATTAAAAATTTGTAAAATTTTCAAAGAAAAACTTTTGTATTTAAATTTGCAAAACCAGATTTTCAATATGAATTTGACAATTTAAGTTTGATAAATTGTTAAATGCTAATAATTTTAAGTCTTTTTTTAATTAATATTTTTTTAGTGTCATTAGAATCCTCAAAAATTTTTCTATCTTTGGTGTCGATTTCAATAATTAAAACTCTCTGATTGATGAACAATCAACAATTAAAATTATGTGTCAATTTTCAGTTGCACTACCTTAATTGGAATGTGATCAGAAATCAAGTTCTGTAATTGTTGTAATAGTTGATGTTCAATCATTTAATGTGAAAAATTATCATTAAAGTGACATTTTAATTACAAACTAATTGATTGTAACATGAAGATATTTTTGAATATCTGAAATCAATATAATTGATGATTGATTAATTAATTTGTTTCGATCGTTATTTGATTATTTGCAACTGTTAATCAATGTTATTACTTTGCTAAGCCATTTAATTGTCAACATTTTTTATTATTGATTTCTGACACTGAGCATGATTTCAATCATTCAGTATCATTATTATAACTACAGTGATTAACAAAGTGTTCACAGTTTGAATACTTCCGTTGACATAATCATTCTGATTGATTTCAAGGCTAATTGTGATTTATTTTTATGTTTGTTTATCACCTTGAGACTGATTGTAAGATATAATTTATGTATCAACATCTCAGGTAAAATGTTATTCGGAATATTGATTTATTCATGAGAATCTCCTGAACTGAGGATTGAACTTCCATGAATCCTTAATCCTACAATTATCGTATTCAGATTATTAATCATTAACTAACCTTCAAAATTTAAACTTTGATATTCTATCAATATTAATAATTCAAACTCTTTTTTGAAATAAAAGTAATTCAAGTTAACAATCTTAATCATTTTCACCCCAATGAACTAGTTATAGGTCTTAATGATTTACTTTCGTTCGTAATTAATATAATCATAGTGATTAGAATTCAAGATAATTCTCATGAGCATCATCAGAAAAATGAGCATTTCACTTGTCGGAATTGTTCAAATGAATATTCCTTGTTAATATCCATCTTTTTGGTTTCGAATCATCTTAATCAGGATTAAATTCCCTCTGATTAACCAGAATGTTTATCACTAATCAGATAAACATTTTGATCAATTCGCTCATCTTATTTTTCATTTTAATCTAATGGCAATTCAACTAATCATCATATTCATTATTCGAGATCAGAGTAAGTGTACCAAATAAGTTGAATCTCATTAGATTAACTGGAGTCTCGTTAATGATGATCATTCGTCTCAATGAATCAAAAACTAATCTCATCAAAATATAACTTTGGGTGTGGATTTTTCAATGATTGATTCACTTTAATTTAAATAAATCGGGTTAATGGTTGTGATAAAGACGATGATTAAAGTAGCAAATTGCTAATATTGATTGAAAGAAAATCATAATTGTTATTATCTTTTTCTCTGTTTGTTTGATGCAATCAGATTCGATCTTTTTAATGGGCTCTAAATTTTTCTAATTGAAGATCGATAAATGAGATTAACCAAACATCGCATTGGATTTACTAAAAACTGGTAATAGGATTTTCAAAGTTCTCGAATTCGATCAAGATAAATGTTATCAAAATATACGTTTATAATAACGACAATACTTTTCCTGACGTTGTATGAAATACAAAATGAAGCTCAACTCACAGAATTGGGTGAAAAAAATTCATTCTTATGTTTGTATTACCTACAAGTTGCTACTATACATTACTACTAATCGATATTTTTTTCTGTTTCTTGTGGTAGATTTGATTAGAAATTATCGAACAAGTTGCTTTAATCTATTACCCGCACAACTAATCACTGATAGTAAATTGATTATAAGGAGATTTTTTCGATAAAAAAAAGTAAAACGAGATTTTGATTTGAACCTAAATCACCTTGAGTTTCCTGTGAATATTTTGTTATTATTTGTAGGTAGAAGAAAATTGTTCGAATCCTCACCATGAATAAACATGACGAAGACATGGAAAGTACATGGAATAGCTAAGAACTAAATGAGATGAAATGCTTGGAAGAGTCTGAATAAAATCTGCAGAATAGAAATAAAAAAATAAAACAAAAAGAAAAAAAATCTTAGGTAATCGATTAAATTGTCTTTTCTCTTTGTTATGAATATTTATCGAGGAAAAGTCAAGTATTGGAACAAAGAAAGTAAATATTATATCGAAAGATCTGATAAAAGCTCAGATAGAACTCTGATCATGATGACATGATGAAACCTTTTATTTAGTTAACCATCAATCATTTATCATTGCAACATGTAATTGCGATAATCTCATGATGATCATCAATTTGAAATCTTTTTTAAATTTTTCCTCTGAAAAGTGATCTTGTTAACCTCTTTTTCATTAATAATTGTAAATTGAATTCGATTCACATCTCAGAAGATGAAAACTCAATTAATTGATATCATTTGTTTCAAACTCTTTTATTGCATGTGATTTTCTACTGAGATTCATTTTCTCTTCCTCTGCTAATAATAACATGATATCAATTCAATCATGATGAAAACTATGATTTATCACAGTTGTCAATCAATATTTGATACCAATTGTGATTTAATCAAACTAAAAGTGTAGAAATGTAAATTTGAATTCAGTTCTTGTTTCATGGTATGAAAATGACAATATAATTAGTCAGAAATCATCAAAATGTTTCAACTCACTTGAACTTTCAGAATGTTATTATTTCTTTACATGTTTTATTAAATTGATTCCACCTTTTTATCTTACTGAATCCATGTTTTTTTCCCGATTTTATCTCATGTTATGATAATTTCTATAGTATTAATATAATTTTCTTTGTTTCTTGACCAATATTCATATCATCAGTTGACCTTATTCTGTTCTCAATTGAAACGATTGTTTGATCTAAACCATTTATCTGATTCTCTTCACGATAACATGATAACATCCCAATCATCAAGTTCAATGATTGACCTAATTGCACATCGCTGAATAATTTAAACAAATTCCCTGTTGACCTTAGAACAATAAAGTTCCATACAAATAAAATTCTACGATCATTATTTTCACCATCATCAATTCAGAATTCCCTGAATAATTTATTTACACCATAGTTGGCGATTGGAATTACTTTTTTATTAGAGCTTATTTTTTATCAGCTTGATAACAATGAAACACTTTAACATACTGATAATTAGATTGCAATTACAATTTATTTATAATTGTTGCATTGGAATCATCACAAGTTTGTCACAAACAAACTGAATAAAGTTTCTCTGAACGATTGTAGGATCAGGACATAAATGTCCTAAATAAACATCTAGAGATCTGGAGATATAAAGAGAGACCAATTGATCAAATAGAAACTAAAGAGTCGCTCTTGGGTTTATCAATTCTAAATATCTTCCAAGCTCTTGGTACATTTTTCTGGACAATTTTTGTCTAAGTAAACAAATAATTTTCTTCGGATAATTAATAAGCTGAGTAGCAATCGATGCAGCAATCAGCTGAATAATAGAAAAGATATCGAATATTGATACAACCAAAGAATCGTTGATAATGTTAATTGTTGCTGATTGGAAGTTTCCAGTGTTTGAGTATTCGATAAATAAGATAGACGTAGATTAGATAAAAACTGTCCACTTATTAAAAGAAGCCCGTTAATTAATCTAAACAATTTGTAGCTAATTTCCTAAAGCCAAAGGCACTTTAAAATGAGCCTAATCCAAAATCTAATGGTTTGTTAATCCGAGGAAGTTTTCTCTATTCTTAAGTTCATGTTACATTCTGATAGAAAGTATTGGGATTAAGATATTAACAATTTTCTATTTTCTTTCTTCCTCATCATTTTCCTTATCATCATCTTATCCATTATTTTCAACAAGGAAACTCAATGTTTCCAGAAACCAGGTAACTTTTACCTCATCTTTTTAATTGAGTTGAAAGGGTAAGATGATGAAGATTGGAAAAGATGAGATTTTTTCTTTCATCTATTTTGACCTATTTATCTTCTCGATACTCTCTTACTATCAACTCAAATCTCTCTCATCTTCTTTGTCTTCTGTGGGTGGATATTAATGTTTACTTAACTAATAAGAAACTCTTATTACCTGACCTGAAGTTGAACGAAGATGAACATGAAGAAAGTTCTTATTACTATATTACAATAATCATAATGTTATTATATTATATTAGTTTCCTTAATCATTTGGTTGCCTATCGATCAGAACCAAACAATAATTACAATCAATTGTGAACAAGATAATCATTGGAGTGAAACTTGATTCAGATTGTTATTTAAAACGACAACAAGATTCAATTGAAATTATTCAACATTTTCATCTACATATCAGATTAATTATCATGAGTTTTTACTTTTCCATTCATTTTGATTATATCAGCTAATAAATGTATTACTAATTGTTGTATTAATAGTTTAACTCGAATGCAGAACATTTTTCATAAATTCTATGTTAATTTTGATTAAATATGATTATTATAATAATAATAATAGTAGGAGCGATTAACTGTTTGGATAATGAACTAAAAAAGTTGTGAGAAATTTAATCAATAGATTAATAATAGAAATTCATTGATACCAAAGGAATTATATTAACTTCATGGCAGAGAATTAAAATATCGCCTTGTGACACTCAGATCATTACAATTACAAGGAAATTATCATGAGCTCTTCGTCATGTTTATTTGATTAATCATGATGCATGAAAATGATGATCAAATAACCATGTAAAACCATTTACATTCATTAATCACAATTAAGATCCATATGTAAGCGATATGCTATTTATTCATCATGTTGATTAAATTGTAACTCAAATGAATCAGCCAAATTTGATGATTTCGTTACAATTCAACGGATAAAAAAGGTAATCAACATGAACTAGAATCAATTATAATTGCAAACTAGAACTTGAGTAAAACTCAACCACTAATTATTATCAATAAAAGTAACTTTTGTATTAATAATAACTTTCAGTCAGTTCGAGCAAAAGTTTAGTAATAGTAATTAAAATACATTTGATCAGTTCTCTGGACTTATTGAATATATGAAACATGATAATGACTATAATATAGTTTATAATGTGACCTTGACCTAAATCTGTTGATCATCATCATCATCGTTATCCTGAAGATGCTTCAAGTTTTTCAATCATTTAACTGATTCCTTGATTCCTCGATAAATATCAATGATACAAACATTAATAAATAAATCAATCATCATAATGAATATGAAAACACATGAAAAAGATACTAAATGATTTAAATCAAACAAATGATGATCACCATCAATACAACGACAACGACAATTTATCAATCAGATTGTAAATAAATATGAATGGTGAATATTTATATTAATATTTTTACAATTGTATTAATAATAAAAAATTAAAACTCAATTATTAATGTTCAATATCAACAGTTTTTACTTTTTAATCTTTTACTTAATCTAAATTAAAGTTTTTTTCTGTGAATCAATAAGCAGAATCAATGTAATCAATGTAATTAGTCAAAATTAAATCACTTTGACTGATTGTAAATTTTGTAAAAGTTTGTTGATCATCATTCTCATCATCATGGTTATCATGATTGAAATTGATTGTGATCAATTGTCTACATGGATTAATTTGCTTAATCAATATCAGTTTTAATTAACATGGACATGGAAATAGTTACTCTTTGAACAATTTAATCTCATGTCAACTTGGAGATTGTTTTAATTAAATTGATTCACTAATCAAGTAAAACCTTAAGTTAATTGGGATTCTTCAAGTTTTTAGTGAATAAAACAAATCTAATTGTATTGTAATTAATATTAATTACAGTTAGAATTAGTCAAATTTCAAGTTAATTTTTACTATTAGAGTGTAATGATCAATCGGAACAATAAGAATAAAAGAAAATTTTGGAATCTTGTGAGAATCGATGAAAATATCGAGAAAACTGAAGGATTGTAAAAGAGAAAAATCAATAAGAGAAAAGAAATAAATACCTTGTCAGTCATTTTCTCATCATCATCATCTTCACTTTGATCTTTCACAGGTCGGTGACGAAGGTCTGAGGACATGGTCACTGATTAAAAGTCGCTCCGAATTGTGACCGCTACACTTGCCGAAAATACCAATGAAACACCAAGTGAATTAACAGTTGGCCAAAAGACAGAAAATAAAAACATCTCAATCTCTCAAAGTGTTACCTTAGTCTCTCTTCTTTCCCCTCGACCAACCGATTCACTTCCCCTTTTTCCATGCAAATGTAGCGACATCAAGGGGACACAATATCAACTCTTTTTCTTTTTTTAATTCTCGTTAATTTCATTCATCTAATTAATCTCATTTCTCTCTTTAGGCTCATTATTCTCGTTTGTAGTTTCCAATAATCAACACCACCGAAATAATCCAAACAATTACAAACTTTCACAAACTTTCAAAAAGATCATTTTATCGATTGATTATCGAAAAAGTTTATTTCGCTTTATTTAGATTTTGATTGTTCAAGAATTAAACTCTTTCGATATTTTTGCTCATAAATTGACAAAAAATCAATTAGTAATTAAGTTAAGCAGAAATAATGATTAAAATGTTAATCAAATGAAATGAATCTTGAAACGTTTCCATTACAATTTATTCGCCGTTATTAGTAAACGGTCCCTCTTTTCTTAAGCTTGTCTGTTGTTTCCGTTTCCTTCTGGAGATCAATTCATGAAAGTGAATAAAAAAGTGATTTTAAATTATTATTGTTAATTAGTTTTGATTTAAATTGTTTAATTTAATTTAGTTTAAATCAAAATGAAAGTTAGTGGAAAGGTAAGTGTCATTCATTCGATCCTCTAAAATTATTATTATCCGAAATCATTGTTTCTGTCCTTTGATTTGTTGGTAAAAATATTCTATTTGTTAACCCGGTTCTATGAGTTTTCTATTTGTAATCAATCTTTACATTCTTTCCTTAATGCTTTCCCATATTAGAGGAATAAAGCTTCTAAGGTTGTTTAATATGTTTTCCTTCAATTCATTCAAATTTACGATACTCACTATGGTTTTCTTTTTCTTTTCTCTATTTTAGCTCCGCCAATACATCATCGTGGGTCGAAAGATTCCATCTAAGCAAGACCCAAGCCCTCAACTCTTTCGTATGTCAATCTTTGCTCCGGACCATGTTGTTGCTAAGTCTCGTTTCTGGTATTTCCTTAAACGTCTAAAGAAGATCAAGAAGGCTAATGGTGAAATCGTCAACATCAAGCAAGTTCAGGAAAAGAAATCTAATGACCGAGTTCGCAATTATGGTATTTGGCTTAGATATAATTCACGGACAGGAACACACAACATGTACCGAGAATATCGGGATGTTTCAGTCGCAGACGCTGTAACCCAATGCTGTAAGTATTTTCCACAACAGATTATCACAATTATTCAGTCGTTACCCTTATATCTAGTGTTCTCTATTAATTTGGGATTTTCTTTCAATTTATAGATCGTGACATGGGTGCTCGACATCGAGCTCGAGCTGATACTATTCAAATTATCAAGATTATTTCTATCGCTAACTCCAAGTGTCGTCGACCTAATGTGAAGCAATTCCACAAGGCTAAATTACGATTCCCACTTCCAGCCAAGATTGACAGGAGGTTCCACTCTCCTCGATTCTCTACTAGAGTACCTGATGCCCGACTTCTTTAGGTTATAATCAAAGTGGGTTGTGTATTTGTTTTGAAACTTTAATAAATACATTCAATGGATGTTAAAAGTCTTGTTTAAATTTCCCATTTTTTCTTTTAATTATTCCACTTTCACTCTGGAAATTTTGAAATTGATACGAAATATCAACTATTAAGGGAAGAGTAACATTCGAAAGTTTATATTACAAATGATTAATGAGAAGGAAAATTAACTAGAGACCATCGCCTCTCTCGTCATCTCTCTGTTTAAGTAATCGGCTTTAGTCGCTGCTTGGTATTCATCAATCAGCTCTTGAACAACTTCTTTAGAAGAATCCAATTCATCTAATCCATCTTTGAACAGAGATTCTTTTCTAAATTCTTCTAGAAAAGCTTCTCTTTTCCTTAGTTTGCCATATTGAGACAAAGTTCGAACAAAAAGCTGAAATGAAGTGAGAAACTCAGTTAATTGTTTTGAAATGAAATCAGTTTGTAGACTTACATTTGAAATGGAAGTGTGATTCGCAAGCATCAACCCAGAGACTCGATGAGCTGTTTGGATATAAGGTGATTTCTTTGACAAAGCGACTTGAACACCCGCTGGACCCCAGGGAACGAATTGAGCTAATTTCCTCTCTCTTGTTCTTTGTAAACTTTTGTGAACTTGAGTTGGATCAACTTCACCTTGAATAATGTTGAGAATTGAAATATAACAATGCCCTTGATTTTTATCATGCATCGCCGTTGAGACCATCATGTTTGCTGGTTGGAGTAATCGTCTCATTACATCAAGAACAGTCGTCTTGCGAATGTTGGTCGCCTCTTGATCGGTTGTTAACGGCGTGTAGCCTGTCATCAGGAAGTGAAGTCTTGGAGTTGGGATGAGTGGGGCGATTAAGCCAATGAGATCATTGTTCATGTAGCTCGGATATCTCAATGTCGCTGTGCTGACCGACATGATGGTTGACACCTGAAAACAAAAGATTGTTTTTAATTTTTCGAAGAAATTTTCAATAGGCAAAGACTAATAAAACTTACGAGTGAATTGATTTGACCAAATGAGGGATTAGTGAGCTTTAACCTCTCAACAGCTATTCTGTTGAGAGCCGTGTTGTCCAGCACAACAACACAATCGGCGTTCAATGCTAACCTTTTGAGTGTCAATAACGAATTGTAAGGTTGAACGACAACATCGGAGATTTCGTCTTGGTTGGGGAAGACAGAATATGTTTGGATCAATTTTTTGGGAAAACGTTCATTAAGCTTTTCTAACATGAATGAACCCAATCCGGACCCTGTTCCACCAGCAATCGAGTGACAAAGGACGAAACCCTCAAGTGAATCACTTCCATCAGCCTCTCTGTCAATTATGTCGAATACATCTTCATACAATTCATCGCCAGATGAGAAGCCACGAGCCCAATTGTTTCCAGCGCCTCCTCCAGATGGAGAAAGATAAATGTTTTCCTGGTTGTAGAGTTTATGATACGGTGAATTCATGATGGTATTAATTACTCTGGGCTCCAAATCGATTAGAACAGCCCTCGGTATGTAATGGTTATCATCGGCTTGATAGAAGAAAACATCTTTTCGATCAAACCCTTCATTTGTAGCGAAATCCTCCAATACTCCTTCAGGGCTAATTCCATGTTCAGCACATACCTTTTTCCAAAATTCGAAGCCAATCTGGTTACCACATTGGCCCAATTGAAGTGTAATCATTTCACGAGGCATTTCGATGAAACCACAAAAGAATTGGGACTAAAATAAACACACAAATTGAAACGACGAGAAAGGAGAAAATGTTGAAAGAAAAGAAAACAAAGTGAATTTAAAATTAAGGCGCCAACAGAATTCAAGTTGAGGGAACGTTGACTCATTTATTTATGTCTTTGGACTACAAACAGAAATCGCTTTCGGTGGACAAGTTTCGCATTTGACTTGACAGCACCAGTGGAATTTACAATTACAGTTATCGACTGTTTTCTCAAGTTGTTCAGTTACGTTATAACCGCACTGAACACAAAGTTCATCGCACGACTTTTCATCTTCACAATGTCTACCGAGTGTTCCGACTGAGCCAAATGTTTGATTTGGGAAACAATAGTTTGGCGATTCTTCAACATAAATTAAATTGTTCTTGGTGTCAGAATCACTGGTTCTCAACATGTTATTAATCTCCAATTTTCTAGCATTTTTGAAAGATGATTTTAATCTTTTCCCGATCTTATGGAAATCGTTGACTTTCCACCAACAAGATTTGAGGTTACAACTTCCGGATAGTCCATGGCATCGACACACTTTTCGCATTGTTTGTTGGACAATCTGCCGACCGACTTGACTGTTGTGCATGTTTATCGATGCCCAATTGTCCGATCCTTCCTTTTTATCCAAAAAAGCGCTTGTTGTCTTGATGGCGAATCTCACAGACTCGGTGCATCCAAGCCAAGCGAAATTGTCCTGATTGATTTGTCCATCTTGAAATGACCTTTTCCGATCTGCTCGACAACTGCAGTTATTTTGTTGTCCAGATTGACAGGTCGTCGCAATTGTGTGAACTAAAGCAGCATTGACGATCGCCTGGATGAAGGCCACTTCTTTGGTCACTAAATTGAATGGAAGATGAAATTAGACAAATCGAATAATCGAAATAAACGAACATTACAATTATTGGAGATTGAAAATCGAAAACCAATTGAACTTACCTTTCAAACGATTTCTCTTCGATGGGTTGAGAATATTAAGAAATACACTTGTTGGACAATTCCACAGGGAATGTTTAAATTGTTTCTGACACTCGGATAATCCAACTTGAATACCCGATTGTATTGTGGGCAGAAAAGGAGCCGTAATGTGACCACTGGTGATCAAAAAGTTATTGATCGACCAAAAGTTAGCGGGACTGGGCAATAAAAAGAGAATCAGTAATAAAATATTGATCAACATGATGATTTAATTGTGAAACGCCGATGGAAAGTTAAGACTGATTGAAGCTCTTTTTCCGATGATGAAGATAATGAAATGATTTCTAAGAAACTAGTTGTGAACTGTCAACTATGGAGATGAAGATGAAGATGAAGATGGAGATGGAGATGGACATTGAGATGGACATGAAGATAAAGAAGTGAAAGAAAATGGGAGAGCAAAGGAAAAGGCAAAGAAAGCGAAAGAAAAAGTATTGAGAAGCCTTGTTACTTTCTCTTTCTCCTTAATTAGTGTAATTCATAATAGTGTTGAAAACACTTGACCGATGGTCAAGGCAAAAAGGCAAAGGAACAAAAAAGCCGAACACAAAAGGGTAACACTCACTAAGCTCCCGTTTCTACAATTGCAGTCATAAACTTAATCTTTCTAAATCCAATTAGTGTTAAAAATGAATTTTTTTCAAGAAAATTTCTTGGGCACACTTAGAATATCAACTTAATTATTTTTACAAGTAGTTTGACCAGTGGTCAAGAGGTGAACATGCTGTTAAGAAACTAATGATTTCTTCACTAATTACCTTTTTTTCCTCTGAAATTAATCGGAAATTTGATTAGATTATAAGATTATAAGATTATCATGAGAGCAATTTGTCCATTCAAATGAAATAAAATGTGAAAGATGAAAATTCAACAATTGATTGAGATCTTTATTCAATTAACTTCATCCAACGGTTTATGGAACCATCCATTGATCGTATATCGAACAGCATTTTTATTGATTATCTCGGCAACTTGGTGGAAAGAGAAACGAGACACTTCGAAGAATAAAAATCTGTTGAATTCTGGGACAATGTTCGTAGTTGGTTCGAGGAGATCTGATGGGAAACAAATTCGACAAACTAATTAGGCCAATCGAATAAAACGATTCAATTACTTACAATCACTTCGATAAAGGTCCAAAGTACCGCCCCAAGATTTGTCCCACTTTTTGTTGAGATAAATGATGAACGCGATTCTCCGGTCACCTGACATATCATCATGACACAGTAAGTGATTAGTGTAAGTATATTTAGATGCACTAATTGTAACTTTTTCTTTATTTAATTTTTTCCCAACGACTTTAGATAAAAACGGAATCACATTTTGCACAAGACTTGTCGCTAAGCGCTGGACCAGAGGGTTGGACATGAAAATTTCGTCTTCTATTTGATGATAAGTAAACATATCAGTGTTTCTCAGTTCGTAAACTGTATTCTCAATAAAGTTAATCAAATCATCTAAATATTGTTCATCTTGAATGAAGTTTTGTATCCAACAAACTTTGAAAGGCTCATTTAAAATCCCAAAGTCTGTAACCTTTTCATGTCCGTCGACTTGAATTGACCTTCGATAGACATTTTCAACGCACTTCGGCCTCTGTAACAGACCATTCAACTCAACAGGTTCCGCTGTAATGAAGTACTTGGAATCACTTTGATAACAACCGAGTTTCCTTTTACTGGTCATCACTTTTTGGTTACTTTTTCTTTTCTTCCTAAACCTTCCCCTGCCCCACATCTCCCATGTGTCCCACCACATCTCTCACTGATTTGAGATCAAAAAGATCAAAATATTAATCAAACATTCAAACGAATTACTTTTGATTTTTGTCGATGATGAAATTGGAAAGCACGAAATTCATAACAATCAAACCAAAAGAAAATGTGATTTTGTTTTATTGTGGAACATTAGAAAAATGTCTTCCACTAGTTTGGTTGCTTAGCAACCAAACCAAGTAACCTTTAGGTTACCTCCCGGGCTTTTCAGCCATTAGAGTAGAAAAACATTGTAATTACATTCTCTCATTTGTTTTTGTACAATAATAATTTCATTTATAATTTACAAATTAACAACAAATAAATTGATTTAGAAGTTAGTCAAATTCACCAAGAAACAATGATTCTGCAAGATAAATGAGAAAAATAAAAACAATAATTAGAAAATGAATTCATTGAAAACAAACGTGGTTTGATAGGTTTCTTTAGTCATTTTATTCTCAAACCTCCAAGGAGATTTCAATTGTATTTTTCACTAAAATTTTCTTCCTTTTTTTATTATCATTTCATATCAATATGATCACTAGTTTAAATTACACATGTTGATAACAAAATCGCAATTAAAAAACAATAATAAACAATTAATTTAATCACAATTTAAATCTTAAAACAAAAACACGTTTTCCAATTTTTTTAAGAAAAACATTGGGACCGTCTTCTAATTTCAACTTACTTATCATCAGTTGATTGTCTTTTGTGTGAAAGTGATTAAATTGTGCGGTTGGATGAAAATGTTAACATGAATTAAAAGTAGACAATTTTGTTTCTTTGATTGTTGTTTTTAATTGGTGATTAAATTTAAAGTGAATAAGTCGATGGTTTCGATTGACTGATGAGGGAACTTATCAAGTGTTATTGTTAACAATCAAGGTGGTCATTTATTGATATTTATTGAATGAACTTACTAATTAATTGGAATTCAATCTCGGTCACCATTAATTATGTGAAACTTTAAATTGTATCACACATGGTTAATGGTAATATCGATTGTCAAAATTTGATCTTTGTTCGCTTAATCATTAACCAAAGTTGATTTTGGTTTCACTGAATTATAATCAACGTAATTTTGTAATATTTAAAAAGATTCGTAAACAATAACATCTTCATTGTTATAGTTATTTGGTTCACTCAACAAATAGATATTGATTACATTTGATTACAGTATAATAATATTCTTATAAAATTTGGGTTGATAAATTATTGTTTATGGTTGTGATGAATGGCGGTTGATGAGGTGAAGATTCGGAGTTTGGTGAGATTGGTGATGTCGAATCTTTATCCTTCTTTTTAGCCTTTTTTCGTCTCCTTTCTAGAGAAGCGACTTCGGATTTAATATTAATGTAAGTTTTCCGCAAGTCTTGTAGTCTTTCTTGTAAAATTTGTATTCGTTTCTCTGCTTCAAGATTCTCGTCGATGGGAGTACAATAATTATATTTAGATGTTGGGTTAACACTGTACACAAAAGCATTTGGACTGTAATTGGAAAGAGTGAGCGATGGAAATGATACAGAGTCGCTTATTGGATCATTCGATGTGAAAGGTTCATTCGAAGATTCTCCATATTGACGGGTTTTCCTTCCGATGGAGCCTCTTGTTTTACACCCTACAGATTGATTCGATTTACCTTCTTTCATCTCTGAGGTTGATGAGGTGCGTACTCTTCCTCTTCTCTTCTTGGGTGAAATCGATGGTTGGACTGTGGTAATCTTGTCATTCTTATTAGAATCATTTACACTATTCCTTGAGCACGAATCCTCGGATGTATTCTGAGCAGGAGATGAAAGGTTACAATCTTTGATAATAGCAGGAGGGGCTCCAGAGGCTGCATTTGCCAAAGAATCTAATGCACTGATGGCAGAGGCAAGCGATGTCTTAGAAACTTCCATTTCAAATCTTTGATCATTTTGTAAATGGCTTTGGTGTTTTTCATTGTCACTTGATTCTCTTTCATGAGGTGGTGAAGATGAAGGAAGTGTCCCACTTTTAAGGCTCTCAGGGGTTGTCGGTGGGGTGAACTGATTATTATCACGATTATTCACCTGATGATTTGGAATTGGCTCTGGGTCAGCATTATTTTTAAGTTCTGCTTGTGGCAATAAATTGGGTTGCGAAGATGATGTGGCTGTTGATGATGATGAAGAGGAGGACGATGAAGATGAAGATGATGATGAAGAAGATGATGATGATGAGTGACATACAGGATGAGCTGAAGAGGGTTGAGTTGATGATAAGCATGAAATGGCCGAAGTCTCAGAGGTTGTGACACTCGGTACTGGCACAGGGGTTGAAATATTTTCGATGACATCTACCTGGTGACCAGGCGGACTCGCTGGTACTTCCTCTTTACACAATAAAAATGAGCCTCCGGGTTCTTGAATATTTTCAATTGAAACAGTGATTGTATTACTTATTTCTTCAGGTGCGTTTGATGATTTACTGTCAAAGAGACTCGCAATTTCTTGATTCTCTTCATCATCTTGATCAGCTTCTTTTCTTTCACTGTTCTTGTCTTTTAATTCAGATTCAATTTGTTTTTCTTTGTCGACGACTTGTTCAGTTTCTTGTTCTTTATCCTTTCCTCGATCGATATCTTTTCTTTTAAGCTCTTCAGTATCTTTTTTGAACCTCTTTTTTGGTGCATGACCTTCCCGCACTTTACCGTCACCAGCGGGAGAAGAGACATTTTTAACCGGTGGCTCAGCATAAGATTGTTTTGTTTTGTTAAGAGATAGTTTTCTCTTTTTGTTTTTGGTTTCAAGTTCTGAGTCAACTGGAAGCTCGTGTACTTTGTCTTTCGCAAGCTCTTTATCATCGGGAAGAGGCGATTTACGTTTTTTCTTACCAACTTTGCTTGACTTTTTAGTTTCATCAGCAATGTGAGATTCATCTGATTTTTTAGAATTGAGTTTCTTTTTCTTCACTGAAACATTACTGTCTACTCTTTCTTTTCTTTCTTCACTGAAATCACTTCCTCTACTTCTTTTCCTATCTTTTTCTTTTTCCTTTTCCTTTTCTTTTAAATTTAATTGTTTGATTGATTTTCGTTTATTGGTGGTCGATTTGTTGAGTTTTTCATCATCTTCTCCATTTGACACAGTATCATCTGTTGTTGCACTAAAGTTTAATGATGGATCATTTTTACTCTCTTCTTCTTTGGAAACAGGGCAGTTCTCTGGTTCTAAGGTTCTCTCAGGTGAATCTGGTCGCATGGGAGATTTGGCGAGATTTTCGTCACATGTTAACAGATCTTCGGTTATTTTAATCTTGCCTGGTTCTGGAATATCGTCGAGAGTTTCCTCTTTGACGCTTGTTGAGACAGTTAATTCAGACACTTCAACTGTTTCGTTGATCGATTCAGCTTCGGTTTCACATTTATCATCATTAAGATCCATTTCTGTGACACTTGTACCATCTTGTTTAGTATCTTCACAGTCTTCAATTTCTGTATCAGCGCATCTATCAGGTAAGTTTTCATGAAGCTCATCAAGTTTCATTTCATCACTTGACCTATTAACACTTTCATTTACATCTTCATCTTCATCAATTTTCACTTTTGATTGACTTGAAGTATCATCATCCACAGTTTGATTATTTGAGTCTTGAGAAGCGATTGATTCTCCTCCTTTAAATTTTCGTTTACCACCTTTTTTCTTTTTACCAGTAGAGTCCTTTGAATCGTTTAATTTATCAACAATAGATGATGATGAAGGTCGTCCTCTTTTAGCAACTGTCCCTGTCTTGTTTGTCTCTTTCTTTTCTTTTGATGTTTCTTTGTGAATTTCATCTGGCCCATCTTTCCCTGAAACTGGACTGTCTTGACCAACTGAAATACCTTTTTTTATTTTGGAGCCTCGACGCTTGGCCGCTTTGTCTTTCACTACTTCCACAATTCTAGCCCTTTTGATCCATTCATCGTATCGAACATTCCAGCCGGTGTAATGGACAAAATATCTTCTTTTGAAGAGATCGGGGTCATTGTCGGTCTTTAACACTTTTGCTTCATAGATTTTCACAGCTTTTCCTTTGCCATATTTGACTCTAACACGGTTGTCGACATCAACATCAACATCTTTAGATATGGTGGGTATTTTGGCATCATACTCTGCTTCTGATTCTGTTTCCGAGTCCAGATTACCGAAGCTTTTATCGTCATTGTCACCGCCATCGTCTTCGTCGTCTGTACCAACTTTACTGCTTTTCCTGCGACCTGTTTTACCTCGTCTTTTACCCTTTTTTGTAGCTGTTGACGAAGAAACTGAACCATTGGTAGGACTGTTGGCTTTTTTATCAGAATCATCAATATCAGCTAATGACTCATTTGTCTCTTCTTTAATCGATTCTTCTCTTTTACTTGAACCTTCATCAATCTCTGCAGAATCATCACTCTCAGCATCAGATATAGTAGATGCATTGGACGCTGCTGAGGTTATTATTTTTCGGCGACGTCTTTGCCGTCCCCTTTTAGCACCTAATTTAACAGGATTTCCAAAATGTTCAGGGTTAGTCAGAGGAAGATGATCCAATGATTCAGATTCAGCAAAGTGTTTGCCTGATTTGAGACACAGGCTTGTCCTCCTTAGAGTTATCTCGTCACCATCATCAAAGACAACTGTGTACTGAGAAGCATCGATAATTTTATTTATTACACCATCTAGATATTTATTTTTATCCGGATGTTTAGCCTCAATGTGTTCACCAACTCTGAGGTTACCTTTTATATGTTCATCGGTCACTATCACGGAGCCACAATTGTTCTTGAAGGTTACTCTACATTTGAGAAATTTATTTATCTTCTTAATTTTAGCTTCACAAAAGGCTCCCTTGTATTTAGCTGAAACATCAGTACCAATGGCCAAAAATGGAGGTTCCGAGTCACCATACATCAAATACGAAGGTGACGGAGAAGAAGTCATAGTTATTGGAAAAAGGATGAAGCTGAAGAACAAAAAAGAGAGGGAGATGAAAAAGTAACAAAAATAGGGTGAAAGGAGAGAGAAAAATGCAGATCAAGAAAGGAAAAAACAAGAAACACACAAGCAAAATAAAAAATAGAGAGAGAAGTAGAAAGGAAAGAAAGAGATTGAAAATAGAGAATAAAAGAGAATAAAATGATGAAAAAGATGAAGAAACAGAAAGAAAAACAAAAAACGTTCCCCAGAACAATCAACTTTCAACTATTGGATTACCAACAATATTAAGCTTGATTTTAAAACCAGGGAAACAATCCAACATCAGGTGAATTCCTAATCACAAAATCAGAGACAATTAAATCAGCGGTTCAACATAATTAAAATACAAATAGAAAATTTTGTTTGACTGATCGAGAACCAAATGAGCTACTGTTCGAATCGATCAAAATCGATTCATTCCAACAACAATCGATTCTCTCTCTTTCTCTTTCATAACAAAGATTAAGTCTCAAAGTGAAGCGCCAAAAACGAATGAGATCTTCTGGTGATGGAATCAAAGTAATTTCAAAGCCAATTGATAAATGGACAATTTTTGGCCTTTAAAAGTGACGATTTACTCACCTTCCATCGGAAATATCCAACTGAAAGCTGATTGTTTCCCTTCACTGAATTCGGTCAGTTCTAGTCTCTCAACCAACACCACGTGTAACATCACAATCAAGATTCATCACTTGGGGAAAACAATCAAATGGTCGGTTTTTCAATCAATAACCAGTGACAAAGTCACTTTGAAGGTCTCACATTGGGCCAATTGTAAATCATATTTTCCAGGTGATTGGATCTTTAAACTTCTCATTTAAAAGCCAAGAAATCAAATAAAAGCTTAAAAAGAGATTAAATGTTGATCAGCAATTAGAATTGTTATCAACAGATGTCACCGTTTCTCTTTCTTCGTAATGAGTTCACTTAACGTACTCTTAACGTCGCGTACCCGCCGTTGGTTGGCCTTTAATAGTGGAAGATGAGGGAGCAAAGTGAGACTTTAGAATGAGAATGAAGACACTTTAAAAGTTAATTCATTAATTGATTATCTTTTAGAGCATCAGCATCACTATTCTGTGTCTATTTGTTTGTGATCAACTTTTTCTCTTCAACATTAACCAAACATGATCAACTTACTTGGTGGACCAAACAATTAGTGTCTTGTGTTAATTGTGCCAATACTTATTCCTGATCCTCGTCTTTAAATCAATTGTTGAATAAGAGGAAACTTAACCATCGAAATGATTAACCATAATTACCAAATGCTTATAATCGTCAGTTTACTTCTCACCGGAGGATCGACTGCAACAGTCGCATCAATAAAAGATGTGAATTCAAATGGATCACCAAGTGTTTCCAATAAAGCGAGTATCATGTCTTCAGCCTTGAATGTGATCGGTGATAATGATAACACTCAACTGGCCCATTCCGTTTTGGTTGTTCAACGACCAAAGAATCGTCCGAAACCAATTCCTAGTGTGAGCAATGACTTTTATTGGTACAATACTGTTTTGTCTGATGATTCAGAAGCAAATTCGGTGAATATTGAATCTTTATCAACAAACAGTTCAGATGCGCCGACTATTTCAACCTCATCCAAAACCACTTCCACTTCCACTACTTCAACCTCAACTACAACCGAATCTCCTCCATCAGTTTCATCAACTTTACCAATCGGTGAAACTTTACATAGTAATCATCGACCATTAGGTAAACCAATTAAATCTCGTCCTTGGTTAAGACCGATTAGCACAAGTAAACGTAAGAAACCACCGATCACTTTGATCACAAGCTCAAATCCTGCTGATTTATCGATGATGCCTCGAACAACTGGTGTCCCGTTTTCATTTTTCGACGATGAAGTTCCAATTCTAATGAGTAATAACCATCGGAAATTTCCCTACAGTTTAACAACTCGAAATAAATTAACATCAGAATATGCTAATTACTGGACTACCCCATCAACTACTGCTCTTTACAATGATTACTCATCATTGATTAAATCTCCATCTAAGTTGCATTTCAACAATCGACGTCGATCAACAACAACAACCACCACCACCACGACTCCGAGTCCACAGATGATAATGGGCAGTAAACCTCCGTTGAAAGTGTCCCATGTGATCGCATCCAAAAACAAAGAACCCGACGAAGTTAAATCAAGTGTGTTAACAGTTCTCGATCCTCAGAATGGATCAGCTCATTTACCACCAAATACCTCGATAGTCCATCGAAATGTTCTTGTTCCCTATCGACCAGGTCGACCTAAACCTGCGCCCGTTTCTACTACTCAATATCCAATTTACCCGATCCTCGCAGGTATAACTAATTGGCCAATACAAAATAATCATTCGAGTATAAATAATGTCAACGATTTGAATGGTTGGCAGTGGGATGAAACCGATAGTTACTCAGGTACCACTGTCCCTCCTCCCTCTTTCTCTGTCCCAAGCGAACCAGCGACAACAAGTAAAAGCCCAATTGAATATTTGGATCCGATTCCTGTTTCAACGATAAATCGACCAACAATTGCTATAATTGGTTCCAGGCCAGGGGGCTTTGGGTCATTCAGACCAACCCCGACAGCCATAATAACCTCATCTCCATCCTCATCTTCATCCTCGACCGTAGGTTCAAATTCAATTCCTACTCCAGCTCAATCGTTTCTAATTTCTGATGTGCAAACTCAACAACACATCTCACATTCTACTCCTACAACTACTCAGCATGTTATCTCCGTTACACCAATTGGTTCCAATGCTGGTCATGTAATACCTTCGTCAGTCAACACTTCCACCGGTCAACATCACCAACAACACATTTTTGGTGAGGTTACTCACTCCTCAAGGCCTCCATCAGCTACAGCAGCGAGCCATCAATCAGACGTCAATCTATCAACAGCAGCAGCGGCCGCAGCCTCGACCTCAAGTAGTTTAACAACAAGTGGAAGTAGTCAGTCGTTCATCGTTACGACAACCACAACAACCGAATCATCTAAGCCAATGAAAGACACTTATGTTCATGCAATTTATGCCCCACCGATGCCTTCAACCCTTCCCAAACCAGCGACAATCCCAGCGAGTACCAGTTCCCTTTTAGCGCTGTTTGGAGTGGACAGTTTTTCTGGTCTATTCACACAATTAACTGTTTTCAAAGCTCTTCTATTCACCGCACTGGTCATCTTATTGCCTCCACTAACTGTGGCCGCAGCCTTTTCAAGTCTCGCAGGTTAAGGTAAGCGCTTCCAAATGAAGCTCAATCAATTCTGTCAACAAATACTAATCAACAAAAGGCAAAGATAAAGCAAGACAATAATAGCCACACGTCCAAAGGTGACTACAAGTAAGAAACAACAAAAACATGATGATGAGTCTTGTTGCTTTTCATCAACTGTCAAGTCAAAACTCTGAACCCACCTAAAACATAATGATAATTATCATGAACGAATCACCACCCAACTTGAATTGTAAGACTTCGAGATGAAAAGGGGATAAAGATGATGATGATGTTACATTAATTTGTGATGATGATGATGATGATGATTCTATTGGAGTAAAATCTTAAAAATGGAGGACAAAAGTTATCATGGAAAAAGAAGTAAATTAAGTAGCAAAGTAATACGAAAACGTGATCTCGGGACATTGGATTATTATTTATTATTAAAAGAGATTCATTGTCATCTTCAATAATCGTCATCATTATCATCATCATCATCTTCATCTTCATCTTCAACAAACATCATCATCATCGTTATTCATCATCAACGACTGATTTACCAACACTTTGTATTTACCTCAATTTAAAGTGATTTGTTACTTGGAGACTCACCTTTTCAATGGACAATCACATGTACAATTCATATTAATCATTATCATTACAATCGTTTGATTGTTGCAGATAATTTATAAATTGGCAAAGCTCAACTCTGTTTTATGGAGCAATTTAATCAACACAAAAATGGCTTTTTATTTATATTGTTCAATTTTGGAGATAATTTAATTTTTTGTTATAATGAAAATTTCTATTCTTTTTATTGTTCCTCTTTCAATCCTTAATCTAATCCAATAATCTCTCCCTGATTATCTCGGTTATTTATTTTCATTACTGAAAATTATTGTTCATTTGTTTACAAAGTTTTTATTTCAATAAAATGAAAACATGAAACGTATTTTGTTTTAAATATGCAACTGAATCAATTGTTAATTTATTTTTCACGCTTTTTTTAACTTGTCACTTGTCATTTATTTACGCTAACAAATCAACATGCAATATATGGATCAGATAAATTAAATCGTTGAAACCAGAATTCAAGTTAACAAGAAATTGGATATGATCAGTTTGATGAAAGTTGATGTTGTTGAAATTCAAAGCATAACAAGAAGATGGAGATGATTAACCATATCACAGGTGAAGATGATGATGAGGATGAAAAGGAAGAAAGTTGATCAATTGATCCATCAGGGTTACTTTGGAAGACGAACAAGATGAGGAGATGGAGAAAATTCTGATAATTGGAATATTTGAAAGTCTCTCTTTTCGTCACCATCAATCTCTCACCTAAACTTAGAAAAAGTATCTACCTGGAAAATCCTATAAGAAGATTTTGGAATAATTTTTTTCTTTTTACTCTAAAGGATCGATACCATTTCCTGGTGCAAAATGTTGATTAAGATGATGAGGATTAGGATGGAATCATGAAGCAAATAGTGTTTAACACACTGCACTTGAAAATGAGCCGATCTGTTTGTTGTCCTGTTCACCAAAACTGTGATAAAGTGTGTAGATGATGAGAGGAAGATGAAAAAACGATCAACTGATTTGGAAGATTAAGATTAGTATTTAGACCAGAACGGAAATTAACCGATTGGACCAATGGACAGAAGACATGAAATGGACTAATCAACTTTCTTGACCAGGATCTTGTTCCTTTCTTTTATTTGCTTTTTTCTTTCTTCTATTGACAACAAATTGTCTTCTTACTATTGCTTCATTCACCAATTAATCAATTAAATCAATTCCAATTGATTGTTGGTCATCTAATAATCATCATTGTTTATTAGTGGCGGTGCTTCATTCAAGGCGCAGTGTCTTCAGGTCACTTTAAGACTCTAAGTGATTCATTTTCATCCTAAATTATGAACCAACGAAGTGACCGGATGCATGAGTAGAGATAACTGATTTTAGGTTAATTCAGTTCAACAGATTTTCTTGATTTTTACCTTTACCAACTTATCATGTTATTGGTTAGTGTTAACTTTGTGTATCTAATCTGGACCAACCTAAACTAATTATATTTATTATGTTGCTTGATTAGTTCCAGTTGATTGTTGAGCTTTAATCACAAAGATTAAAACAAAAATAAAATCATCGTTGGTCAATAAACGAGGAGATGACCTTAAAATTAGTTAATTGTTCATCAGATTATTTATATTTGCTTACCGAATTCAATTAAAGTCTCTATGATGGATTAATGATTTTATTTATTTTTCTCTCTTAATAATCTGAGAGATAATTAATTAGATTGAAAGGTAATGATAATAATAAAGTGTTGGTCTGATTAAACTTTGTAATAAGTGAATGTGGAGGCTGAACAATTAAGATTATCATTTGAAGATGACCAGGTAGATGATAGAGATAATTAAGATCGACAGGAAATTAGGACAATATAAGAGAGTTGTAGTAAATTGTTTCTCCCTTGTAATGTTCATCTCGCTTATGTAATTGACCATAAGAATCTAATGTTTACAATGAAAGAGAAATTATCTGATTGTGATAGAGAACAAATTGTTTCTATTTCTGTTGAGCATCATTAAGAAAGAAATTAATTAATTCGCTTTAAATTAACTTGTCAGAACTAAGAAAATGATCTCATATCGAAACAATGAACTTCTCTCTCAAGAGATTAGGTTAACAGTTAACATTTTGCTCAATTAGCATTGAACTTGGATTAACATAACAAGTTTACTCTAATTAGCAGTGGGAGGAGAGAGAGAGAGAGAGAGACAAAAAAGATACAAAAACAAAGGATGATGAAAAGAAAGAGAAGATAAGAAAGAGGAAGATGAATGAAGAAAGAGACAGACAGTTGATGAACATACAAATAAGATACTTACCTTTTTCCATGATAATCACAATCATCTGTAAACAACAAACATCATCTTTTGTTTAACTTTCGCAACAATAAGATGAACATTAAATTGCGAATCAACTACAATTAAAAGACTGAGTAAATTGTTCATCATTTGAGTTACTTTTTAATGGAAGATGATTTAACTCTCACCACAATGTTTGTATTCTGTACACGGGTTATCCTACAATTCAGTTTCACATCGTCTCGTTGCTCGACTCGTTTCGAGGTCAGTCTGTAAATCGCTTATTGAATTGACCGACTGATTTGATTCATCTCAAAATGACCATTTCAATGTAACAAAATTAACAACAAATTAAAGAGACAACAAAAGAAAACAGATAAACGTTTAAATGGCTCTTGAAGGAGATGATTTTTGACAGAATCTTGATTGTTATCAGAAAACAACAAATAACAAAATTTCAACATCACTGATCATTTAAATTAATCACAATTGTCATTTTAAAATAGAAAAGGAGGAGACACGTTTAATTATTAATTTGATAAAAATAAGATTAAGGTTGTTGATTGTGAGTATTTATTGTTAATTGTGATTAGAAATGAAAGTGATCAGAACCCTATCAATTGTGGGCTCCAATTCCCGTCCAAAGATGATTTATAATCAATCATTGAAGAAATTGAATTGTTTCTCTATTCACCTTAATGGTTGATTGTAAAGACCAATTAACTGAATACTCAAATTGTGATGAATGAGTTAATTGCTAAGAAAACAAAAATTTCATCACAAGTAATTTGAGTTTCTCATCAATCTCATTAATTATGTAAACACATTATATTCAGCTGACCAAACGAAATAAGCATCAAACTAATTAACTTTTAAATTGAATAATTAGCATCATCTTGATTTCTTATCACCTCAAAGTAGCCAAAACTTTTCCCTGCAGCATTTAATGATAAACAATCAGCTGGCCACTCTCATTATCCTTGTGAACAATCAGATAAACACGTAATAACGTTTTATGGCCAAATTTTATCAGAATTTGGTGTAATTGGGAACAATAGGTTACCCGGTTACTCAGTGGGTACCGATTTAGACGCCGTAACAATGCCGATTATTACATGTGATTATGAGAGAAGAAAAGATTCTAATCATCTGGATAAATTCAGTGAAAGGATAAAATGATAAATAGAATAGAATCTAAAGACTGAAATATTAATAGAATAGAAAACAATCAAAGAGGAACCTGAGAAAATGGTTTAATTTCCTTCATTGGTAAGATGGAGAAAAAGTGAGTTCTTTGAAATAAAAGATACTAATTTGACCCTTAGTGTTAATTAACTGATAGCTGATCGATAATTACCTGTAATCTTCTTGTATTCTGATAAAAAATCATGTTATTCTTGTTTACTTACATGATATCAATAGTGAAGAGGCTGCAAGATAATTACCTTTCATTATAATCACTCATAAACTGTTGACAGTTTCTAATAACATGTAATTGTATCTTTCTAGATCCTGTGAGCTCATAATAAGATGAAATAATCACAATTAACAATAAAAAGAAAACAAACAATTAGAACAATTAACTAATAGGTACTAACTAAACCTGAGGTTTTGGCTGTTGACATTGAACTGGTAGTTGATTAAAATGCTCATCTCGTCGCAACAATTATCTAATTTTACTTTTCTCTCAAAATTAACGAGTTGAAATTAATCAACTGTCAAGGCAAATCGATTGGGCACAATTAGCACCTCAAATGTATTGAGAGTTTTTGTTACTTTAATGAACAATAATTAATCTACTAAAAACTATCAAGGAAACAGTGACATTAATGATAACTGTTGATTCGCAATCAAAGTCAATTATTTCATTTATTTGTCACAACTGATCAGTCAATTCACGTGAGAATTAATTTGTAACCATTGGAAAAAATGTCAAAAATTTTTTCTTTCGTTGAATTGCAATTCGATTTGATGATATTCTCTTAATCTTCTTAACACCAAAGTAACAATGAAGTAGAAGTGATAAATTATCAGATTATTGGAGCGACTTGAGAGGAATGGAACAACTTTTTCTGTTTATCTTCTAAACTCATAATATTTGGAATTTCTCCAAATAATTGAGAAGAGAATCTGATTAATCCATTAATAAGATCACAAATGGATCACAACAATAACAATAGAAAAGAACAATAATCAAGTAGCCACACAATGATCGGCCCTAAGAAAAGCCTCCAAATAGTAAATTGTTGATTTATTAAAGGAAAAAGTTGCAAAACAAAGAAAATTTCTTTTTTCTTCTATTTTTGTTTTTATTTCTCTTTCTTTCTCCTTCTGATCCAAATAGGAATTAAGCCTAATCAGGGCTGATCTAATTCCAATGATGTTTCAAGTATCCTTTTAATCATCTTCTTCTTCTTATTGCTCTTGATTGTTTAACTGATTCTCTTTTTCCCTTTTCTTGATTTCTTTTCGTCGAAATTGCTCAACTCACTTTTCTCTCTTTCCATCATCTCCAATTGAGGGTCATCATTGATGAAGAGCAGGAGAATAAGAGATTCGGATGAAACTGATGAAGAATGAAAATGCTCTTCTCCCCTTGTGGCCTGTAATACTGTTCCGAAAACACGGATTTTCTAATGATAATAATCATCTTAATAACTGAAAATTACCATCAAGACGATGATGATACTGAACCACGCTACTGATGAAAACATGAAAATAAACAGCAACAGTTGAGATAATGACCAGTGCAAGATAAACAATTACGATGATGATGATGAACAGGCTTGTAAAGAACCACAATTGTCAGAATTTATCAAATGTGTCTCAAGATCAGCTGATACAATTACGACGATTGCAAGTAGCTTTTCGTCGACTTGGTTCATAATTTTTGATTCTTACGAAAATCAAAGAAACGAATGAAAGAAAACAAGAACTATCAAATTAGATATTCCACTGAATATCAGAATGAACAAAAAGTTTTTTGTTCTTAAATTTTTTTGTTTCCTTTTAAATCAACAGTTGATTGCTGACCCGTTGATTTAATGATACACTTTCATTGGAAAATATTATAGTTTTATCTGTGATCATTCACC